AGAAATCGTACAGAAGAAAGTAAAGTATCATTAAAAGGTTGAAATTCTTGAAAAAAAAAAATATTCGCTAAATTAAAAGTTCTATTTTATTAATTATATTGTAATATTTTAGTATATATTTATATTAAATTGTGCAGCCAAGCCATTTTGTTTTAAGATATAATTAATATCTGAAAAACGTGCCCATCGAATCAGTGAGGCAAAACCAAAATGGATATTAAACATGTTACAATATATATATATATATATATATATATATATATATATATATATATATATATAGGCTATATATATATATATATATATATATATTGTATCGGGCATCCTTTCTCCATACACATTGAAGCCTACATGCAACGAACTCATACGTCAACTTACTGTAGAGGCAACTGAAAGGTGAATGGATAAACATGACGTCCTGGTTTCACAACCGAAGGATCTAATAAAAATAAATAAATAAAAAGTATTTTCAAAGCAAAGAGCATGCTTTTAGGTTTAATTCTCAAAGCTCTTTTTTTGCAATATTCATCCGCGAACAGACTTACACGGCTGTCCTGCTGGATCTTTCAGCGTCTGGTCATTACCTAACGTTACAAGATTAAGTTAAGGAACAAAATAAAGCTTTTTAAATCGATCGATTTCCACTAACTGTAAAAAAAAAAAAAAAATAATAATAATAATAATAATAATAATAATAATAATAAGATGTATTTTACCATGCGTTTTTTCCTCCTGAACGAAAAACTTCTCCACTGAATAATACTTCTCCTTATCCGAGTAAACAACAGTGTTTTTACCGTGACGCTCGGTCCAGCAAACCTCTGCTTTCCCTTTAATTTTCACACTCAGCGACTGCATTTTCGTGTCCTTCGCAACATCTAGAATGACTTGTCCCGAAATAAAATCCCCACTGGTGAAGGTATTGTTCTGATTGATAGGATTGTAAATGACAGAAATGTTTTTCACGGTGAGGGACATTGTGTCTCCAGTCCAGGGATCCGCTTCTGACGTTTGAACTCAATAATCTCTATAGTGGACTGGCAGCCGACTGCTGCAGGAAACAATCAGCAAAGTATGTGGACTTCCAGTGGGTGTGCCTTACCGGAGTTTGAGAGACTTTTTCTGTGCTGTTCGTGACAAAACATGACGGCATATCACGTTGCCTATCTGAAGTCTTTTGAGAAGAGATTTGCCGCTTGCAGTAGGGGATTGAAAAAGTTCAGCTATCACACACACACACACATATACATAGTCTATTGTCTAGAATAAAATAACTTATGTTATGTTTGATGTATTAGACATATTAGACATTCTCTGCCCAAACTAAAAACAACAACCACAAAAAAAAAAAAAAACAACAACAACAACAACCAAAAAAAAACCGGATTGGCTTGGCCAAAACAACATCTCCAACCATCACGACAAGACGTGAAATAATCATGTTGGTCCACTTTGGAAAACGTGAAGATGTCACGGATTAACTGATAGTTTAAACTCAAAACCATAAATAGGGCTATAGGCTACTGCCCTCTTGTGTCAAATTATAGTGACAATAGTTTGCTCGAGATACCCAGATGTTGACCTATTCTACACGCAAGATCTGCCATAAATGGAATTTTGAGAAATGTTATATTAATTAAAATGGAGAAAAAAACATACATAAATTGTTGTGATTATATCAAACAAAGATATTGTTATCTGTTTTTCTTTTCTTTTTCTTTTTTTTCTTTTTTTTTTGAGAACCAACATAGATAGACCCAAAAATGAATATCGACCGCTACTGGGGTCGCCATTTTAGACCGGTCACCCGCTCCACAGTGTAATTTGTATTGACAGCGCATTAAATCATGCCTCACTGAATACCGAACTGTTTTTTTTTTTTTTTTTTTTAAATTGCAATTCTTTAGCTATTCGACTTTATTCGACTATTCTTCCTTCTGGGCCTGAGATGAGAGTTCAAGAGATTTCCACAATGCATGTGCAAGAATTGCAATCATCAAGTTTATAGGAGCCTATGTAGCAATGATCCACCTCTCAAATTTAATAAAAAATATCTTCATTTGTATTCTGAAGATGAACGAAGGTCTTACAGGGTTGGTACAGCATGGGGGTGAGTAATTAATGACTTAATTTTTATTTTTGGGTGAACTATCCCTTTAAGCCACATCTCTGATCAAAAATGATGAGGTTGTTGTCACAAAAAGTGCCCATTTCAGGCTTTAGTAGGATAGCATAAGTGTAAAATTATATGTAAATTTTACATTCACAATTACTGAATTAATGTGAGGGACATCTGGCCGAAAGGAAAATTGATTGAAAAAAAGTTGATTTCATTACAAATATATTTTATAATCATATTCAGAGAGCTCCCATAGTGCCCAGAATGGGGTTGAAGACTAGTGTCCATATCTTAAAATAATTACCATTAATAGGTATTTGATGCATGAGGTGGGTAAATATGTATTTATGAAAGTTAAAGATGTAATTAATGTTGTGGGGTGTTCAGAAAAGTAACACGGTAAAAAATCTCCAAATGTATAAGTCCAAATCGTACCGGTTTCGTGGAATGACTCAATTGAACTAAACTAGCCTATACGTACACTGTAAAAAATTTCTTGTCAAATTAACAGTAACTTACTGGCAACAATTATCCAGTACTTGCTGTATTTCATTTAACAGTAAAATTACCGTAACACTAACTACAGTACTGTTAAGCATACTGCAAATTAAATAACATTATTTTACTGTAATTTCTTACCATATTAAAGTACAGAATTACACTGTTAATTTTTAATAATACTGTATAGTATGAAATGTTATTGTATTTATTTTATAGTGCTACTGTGTAACCTGTAGAAAATCTGTAGAAATATTATTTTAACTGTTAATGGGAAATAGAAAAAAGAACAATTGAAGCTTTAACTGCAAAAGGTTTATTGTGTATTTTCAAACACATTAGTACATTTACATAATATACATTTAAATACATTAATACAATTAAATACATTAATAATAAAAATGTAATATAATACAATAAAAATCATGCATGACAATCATGAACAATTATGCATAAATACATGCAAAAATTATCATGAACAGGTAAAATAGAAAAGATTAAAGGGGTGCTATCTGATCAATCTATTAGAAAGATAGTTCATAACAACTCATCCACCCACTCCCTGCTGGGGTAAAACAGCTTAAACTAGTCTAAGATTGTCTATTGGTTTGAGATAGACTGTCTAACTGGTCAGTTGCTGATTTTAAAGGGTTTTTGGCTGCTTTCTATCTAAGGGACCAGATTTGCAGGGCTGGGAGACACATATAAACTTATAAACTATACCTGTTCTATCTCCATATTCTCTGACTCTATAGGCCTCATTGTCCGACTCCGGGTCAATCACCCTATCATGAATAAAGAATCATCTATGAATAAACTATCACCAATCATGCATGTTTGTCACTGTAGCATTGTCATGCATGTAAGCTGAGTGATTTGTGTAATTTCCCTGCAAATCAAGCCTCTTAAGAGCTCCGCGCATGATTTAAGAGTTTAGTTGCTTGTCCATGAATGTACTGTACCTAAGATGAACTAGACACACAAAGTAGCAGTGTCTATTAACCACAATTAAATCATTTTAAATCAAACAATTTTACTCATCCATTTTTATTGTTATTTAAAAGATATAGTCAGAGTATCGCCATATTCAATTTTTGACAGAAATAAAAGTGATCTGTGAGGGATAGACATACATGTTCAATAGTTCAGCTGACCAAAGTCTCCCAGAAAAAGAAGAAAGAAAAAAAAAAAAACAGTGTGTGCCATTAAAGTCACCATGAAATCAAAATGGACTTTTTTTTATGAAATATTTCAGTATTTTTTATAAATTATATATTCTGACTGTGCAAATATTTTAGTGTTCATATGCCCTTGTAATCTTTAGTCAAAATAACTCCCCCTCCCTCAGGACAATGTCACTCAAACAAGATCACAGCAATTGTAAACCACAATAATCCAACAATCTAATCAATTCCCAATTGATAAAATCAAGTCCCATAGGCTACTACATTTTGTCTTGTTCGGGAAGCCATTATACTGAGACCTACACCACTAACAGAAGGAATCAAAAACTATTACTACTTCCGTTTCATGCTGACTTTTTAAAAGTAGCCTATAAAAAAGGCTACTATTTCACTGCAAACTGCAATATTTATCTAATAATAAACTACTCAAACTACTGTTTTTCCATCAATTTACAAGATTGTTTCTATAATGTGCAGTGGTCACTTACTTCCATGGCAGAATGATATTCTAAAATGATTAAATGTAAAATAGTGATGTTTTCTTTTTAAAGAAAAAGGGCTCACAGAAGGAAATATCCAAAATAATAAACAATAACCAAATGACGAGTCAATATTCTTCAGAACTATATTGAGCACAACAAAGTACACATGAAAACATTCCACAACATAATGTTATTTTTTGTAAGAAAAAAACAAAACTTTATTTTTATAATTCACAATGCATAGCCAACAGTGTAACAGCAAAACCTGAACAATAAATAAATAAAATAGCAATATATATATATATATATATATATGTGTATGTGTGTGTTACAATTGTTTACAGCTTTCTTTTATATACATACTAGTCAAGCTGGTTACCAAACAGCACCACATCGAGATGCCCACTATACCAGCCACCTTGACCTTACTGCATAGCTAACATGTGGATTTTTTTTCAGATTTACTAAACACAGCAAAACACTTACATGGTTTGTTTGCTCATTATGACGGCTTGGTACGTCTTTTGACCATACGTCAACATCCGCCTTTTTAGGGTACCCTTAAACGTCGGTTAGATGACGTTATCGGATCCTAACCCTACCCCAGACCTAAACCTACCCCATCACCTAACCGATGTTAAAGGTAAAGCGTCAGTTGTAAGACGGCCCGGGATCGTCATGTAACCGACGTTTAAGGGTACCCTAAAAAGGCAGATGTTGACGTATGGTCAAAAGACGTCCCAAGACGTCAGTTGTATATGACGTCCTGGGATGAGACTGTGTTAGACTCTTGCATGTCACTGTAATCGTCTTTACCTTGAATGTAATCTTTATGAAAACTTGTAGCTTGTTAGGGCGGGTAAAATAATCTCTCTTTTTGGATTAGATAAGAGAACGCTGATTGGCTGAATTTTGTCATACCTTGAAATATGTTCATAGATTGAATCAGCAGTGAATCGCCTAAACTACTACATAGATGCACTTCCTGTGGGTGGTCCTCTATCACCCCAGAGCTTAATTTGAGACATGCGGACAGGCATAGGGAATATACAGGCAGAGCAAATATTTTGCACAGATGATTATCAATGATAATATGAGTAATTAATGAGTAATTTCAGTTTTATGTTTTATATTCATTCATAAATGAAAATATATACAATACTTGTTCAAATCTAACTGCAGTATAGTCAGTGTTCAGTAAAACATGGAAATATATGGTCGTGTTAAGCAAACAACTGACAGTTGAAAATCTGATTATTTTGTAACAATTTATGCAGAAAATCCAAGGATTTACATCCTTTTTCCTTCAACTGTATAAGGCATAGAGCATTTCTGGAGAATAGTATACTTCATCATAATAAAGAAGGATTTATCATTTTCAAGAGAATGTACACTATACCAAAGGTTTATAAATAAAACAAACAAAGAAAACAGTATAGGATTTGTTTTAACTGTAAAGGAATACCATGTAATTTTTCACAGCTAGAGGTCGCTTATTTAAAACAAACACGTAGCTTGATGATGAATGTGATTTTGGCTTGAGAAAAGTTGAGCTTTTATTATGCCGCAGATGACCTCTTCCGCTTATTCCAGTCATATATGTGGGGTAACAGTTTACATTTGAGTGTGTTGAAAGTTATGTCATAATGTGTTCGCTACTATGCGGCAACTACGAGTTAGACTTGTTGTGTAACAACACTTGTTACACACTGCAGTAAGCTAGATTGATATTAGGTATGGTAAAACATGGTATTTTCGGAAAATCAAGAAAATGAGATTTAAAGACTAACTGCGTTGAGCTATATAAGAATGATTCGTTTTCTGTCAATGAATGTTTTCAAACAATTGCTCACCAGTCTAATAAAACACATAATAGTTAAAAGCGTCTTTGGCGTTTCCATGGTTTCTACAGAATAAATCCGGAAATTGAGAGTAACACTTATATGATGTCATTAATAGGTGATGCATTGCTTATTTCTCTGGAAATTTAACATTATTGGAAACATTTGGGATGATGCAATACACAGTCAACAAAATATATAAAAATTTTTTAGTGGTTTTTAATCCAAAAATCATGCCTTTAAAGGGTCCTATTATGCTTTTTCACTTTTTCAAGTTTAGTGTGTAATGATGCTGTTCGAGCATAAACAAGATCTACAAGGTTACAAAGCTCAGAGTCCCATACAAAGGGAGATATTTTAACAGAATCCTCTTTTCATGAACTACAATGAACAGCTCGTTTGGACTACAGCGTGTTTTTTCCCGGTTCTTTTGTCACATTATTTAAGTAATCTACGTCCACGGAAATCGCAAAAAAAGGGGGCGATGCCTGGCTGAGTTGCGCTAGTTTAGAGAAGATGAAGAGTGTTGTGGTTCATTTTTAAAAAAAATATTCCTGAACATTATAACCCCAAAGTTTGTCTGCGCGCTGTAACTTTTACAGAGAACAGCTTCCAGAACCTAAGAGGACTACGGACAAAAGCTTCTCCTGAAAGACGTAGCTGTTCCCACTTTGTCGGAATTTTGTTAATTATGGATGACAACTAGTATGTCTTTGTAGTTTTGTAGTTGTGTTTTCTATTAAATTAATAAGTTTTATGTTGCTATGATGTAAACAGAGGGCAATGTTTTGCCTCTGCTAGCCTGTTAACTAACATTGATGTAGTGTTAACTGTAGCTTTTGTAAGCTCTTGCTTTTTTTAGGCTGTTCACCACTCCTTAGGAAAATTGTCTGTGGTTTTGTGATCAATTACTGTTTGTATTACCATAGTATTATATGATTAAATGGGATAACATCATATCTATAAAAAACTCTATAAAAAAAACATAGCACTCTGAAACATCCTGTATGTGCTTGCAAAGTCTGTGCTTGAAATCTGTTCTGCGCGATCCTCTCGTAACATTGTCGCGGTCTGAGGAATTAAGGAATTAAATTGGTTTAAAATTGACGCCATCCTTAATTATTTACATTAGAGAAGAAGTCGCTGTTATGGATGGGCGTGACATTCCGCTAAGCGGTGCCAATCACAACACACAGGGCCAACAAACCAATCACATTCTGTATTTTGGAGGGAGGGGCCTCATCGAAACAGGAACTAAATAATGCGTACGAGTCAGACTGAGGAGAGAAGAGCTGTAATCATTTTAGCAATCTAGGTTAAAAAAATAGAGAGAGAGAAAACAAACCTACAAGGTGATTCTAAAATGTTGCCATCAATTTGTCAAGATTTTTCACGGTGATCTGGCAACTGTGGATACAAATGACATTCCTGATATGGAGGTGGAGCTGATGAGTCAGACTGATGTGAAACTGAAGGACCAAATTGACCAGGAAGTCCAGCATAACTAGGGGGTGTGAACTGACTCGGAGGTCCAGGGTAACCAGGAGCAGGAAACTGACTGAGAGGAGGTCCTGGGTAACCAGGAGCAGAATATTGACTCAGAGGAGGTCCAGGGTAACCCAGAGCAGCACAATGACCAGGTGGTTCAACCATATTAAATGGTGGGGCAGATGGAGGCATAGGAGGTGGGTTGGGGTACGCATTGCCACCTGGTGGTTGATTCCAGATTCCAAAGTTACTGTTTGTAGCACTACTTACACCTGATAAAGACTGAAGAGGAAGAATCACGACTGGGAATTTGATTTCCGAAGCAAATGGCACATCCAGGCAGACCTAGGTACAAAGCATACATTTAATAATAATAATAAAAAAAAACAATTATTCAATTAAAGTGGTTAACAGAAACTTTTGTCAGTACAAGATGAGCTATCAGCACAGCCCTTGATATGTAAAGAGACAGCTTTAAATTAAAAATAAAACACAGATGTGCCACTACCAACTTAAGCAAAAGGACATGTGGAAGAACCAATAGGCCTACACACAAATACACCTGAGATTATGTTTTCATACACACCCTAAAACGTACAATACTGATGTATTGACAACACTAAAGTGTAAATTTATGTATTAATAATTTTACAGCCCTACAAATGTTTACAAATCCTTATTTATGAATATTAAAATTGTTTATAGAAAATGTGAAGCTGATGTCACACCATGTTGGTTAAGCATCTTGTTTAGATGCTAAATTAGGAAAACCACGCTGCCTTTTCTCAGTATAGTCCTATGCTGTGACTGACAATAGAATCATATAATATACCAAAAATGTAAAATAAATTCACAAAAGTAATCAATTTGATTCGTATGCTGGGGCTCTCTGCAGAGCCAAATGAAGTCCAGCTCTATCTTTGTGCGTGACATAGGTAGAGGGGTAGAGCTATGGATAGGGGTAGACCTTCTTGTTCTCAAAGTCATTATAATCAGTAATTATGTCCACAATGAAATAAAACCTTACCAAGTCAAGTCACCTTCATTTATATAGTGCTTTTAACAATACAGATTGTTCATTTCATTGCAATGTTACTATTTGTCTTTGCTTTCGATTCTGAAACTCACCCTGAGTCTGTACTCAACCTTGAGTATCCTACAGTTTAGGATAGAGACGGTAAGGCTGGGAGGAATGGGCAGCACTTTGGTAACAGTTTTTCTTGAGTTTGGCTCAATAGGTTCCCCTTCCTCTTTAAAAAGGTCATGTGTGTGAAGCTTTCTCTTTCCTCTAGCGAAGAAACTGTGTTTTTCATACAGGCAGTATTTTGGCTTGATTGTACGAGATGAATTGTTCTGAACTTCAGCCAAAACTTTCAAGCCTTCTCCTGAGACACAATAAGACAATTAGTTCAATTAAAATTACTTGATGAATTATCACAAGAAACTATGATTCTGTCTATTTGGACAAAACGGGACTCTTAATTCAGAATCATGTTACATAGGATATAAAAAATTCACAATAAACAAATGAATAAAGAACTGCAGTGATAACATGATGATTGCATACATTTGTGCAAGCTCTGTAATAAGTCTATGCCACATTGAAAAAAAGAAAAAGAAAAAAAATATGAAAGTGGTGCATGGGTTTAGGGAGTTTGTTTTCATGCCTAAATTGTGTAACTTTTTTGTCAGTCATAATAGCTCTGATGATCTGAAACTCGAAAATGAAAAATGTCCACCTCTCACCAACTTCAGAGATATCTGACAAAGATCATCTTCTTACAAAGATTCAGAAATAGTTTGAATAATGGTTGTCTACGCGATCCAACTTTGAGTTTTCTGACAAACAAAAAAAAAAACATGCTGTGATGTTAATAATATATATAATTTTACCAAGGTAGTATCCCATTTTCTCAGTCTTTATGTTCATGGAGACACTCCCAAAGGAGAAGAGATTCATTTGTTCATCTTTGGTTCTGTACTGAGGTGCCTAAACAAGACAAAACAAGTAAAAGAGAGGAAACTGAACCTTAAAACGAGGAAAGTATGGTATAGATTAGAAAGACAGTGCGTTAGATTTTCCATAATGATAATCTCACCCTTAGTTCAGGATTGAACACATCAGGACTAGGGAAATAGAGAAACTCTGCTTTGGCTTTGTTAGAAATACGCATTGATCGGGATAGTTTTGTCTCCAAGGTGTAGACGATTTTTCCAACCGAAGCTTTGAAGGTTGGTGGGAAGTGCCTATAAAGAAAATAATGTAATAATGTAAACACAGTTATTGTATAGCAAAAAGTAAAGTATCATTAAAAGGTTGAAATCCTTGAAAATAACATTGGCAAAAGTAATATTTATATTCAACATGTGTTATATGAGACATTCAATTTACTTGAGACTTTATGAGATTAAATGTACTAAAGGGTCAGAACTGCTGGTTGCAGAACTGCTTTAAAATGATGTAGAAGACAAATAGTTTCAATTGTTGCCCATTTCTTTTTTGTTTTGTTTTAAAATATTGGATGACTTAGCATGTCTCTTGAACAATGTTATGTGCAATAAAAAAGCACTGTATCACCACACTCTGGAGCACTAATGACTTCCCTGTAAGGACATCTTAATTGAGAAACATGAAAATAACAAGTAGTGTTATAGTCAGTATAAACGGTTGACACCCTCTTCATTGTCGAACTTTGTATGGAGTAATTAGCTGACCTTGTTGGACTTTGGTTGCACATTTTTGGGTTCTACAAAGCACAGGCTGTTGGGACTAGGACAGTGACTGGATAAATTTAATTGAATAAAATTGACTGAATCCTTATTGAATATTCTCAATTGAAATGTTCATTTCAATATCTAAATCTAAATCTTTAGGCATATTGAGTTGAAGTTTCGAAATAGAGGAATATACGGAACCAGAAGTTGCTAATGAAGGAAAACTTCATATGCAGCCCATCCAATTCTGACTTAAAGCCTGCGCCCCTTCAGTGAATTGTGAAACGGACACCTTAATCTCAGGGTAACCCATGGCTGCGTCAGAGTCTCGGTTCCCTGAAATTTGCCAGGATGGGCATGCTGAACTGGCACATCAACAGCCTAGAAATGATGGCAGTCTTACTGGCCTTTTAAAGTCTTCCAGACATAGCTGACAGGAGACCACGTCTTGTCCCAATCAGACAACATGACAATGGCAGTCTTCATAAATCACCAAGGGGGACTCAGGTCACACCTCCTAAACAGGCTGGTGATTCGCTTCTTCCTTTGGGCTCAGCACAATATCCGCTTGGCGAGAGCGGTGCATGTGCCTGGGTCTCTGAACAAGGGAGCGGGCATGTTGTCCTCGAACTGACCGTATCCGGGGGAATGGAGGATCTACCCCCAGACGGTGCAGATGATTTGGAGTATCTTCAGGCAAGGGGAAATAGACCTATTTGCCTTGAAAGAGAACTCCCATTGCCCAACATTCTTCGTCAAAGAACAGGATGCATTGGCCTACGAGTGGTCCCCTTCAACCCTGCATGCCTTCCTGGAGGAAGCAGCTTTACTGGAGAAAATGCATAAAGGCACAGAGAGGGCCATATGTGGGCCAAGGCATCTTTTTTTCTTCAAGCAGAAAACAGGCAGTGGAAGGTCTCTCTCGATGCAAAGAGGTCCACCTCTGCTTGACCTAAATGCAAACCATCTGGGGTGGAGCCTCAGTGCTCATGTGTACATTGGCTTTCCATTGTGCCCACAGGAGGACGGACGCCAACCTTTTCAGCAGGTGAGACCTAAGGCCCTTGGTGATTTATATATAGGCTACCACTGTCCTGCTGTTCAATCAGACCAGTACATGGTGCCCTATAAGCTCTGATTGTAGCTCCTTGAAGGCCATAATTTCCAGGCAGTTGATGTGCCAGTATGTCATCAGCTCCGTCCAGAAGCCAAAGGCTGCCTAGTCGTTGCATAAGGTGCACCAAGCGAGCCTGAAAGCGAACTGGAGTGAGCACTCGATAATTACAAAACCCAATTTGACATGCTGGCTTAGCTTATCAAATTGTGTTTAAAAAGCCTGGCTTCATGCCGCAAGGGGTTGAAAAGGGACAGATGGTAGCTCATTGGAGAAAGAAGGAGGATAAAGAAGAAGAATGCTTCATTTGTGAGGGAGTTTGTTTGTGACCTGTAGCTACTTCTGGGCCGCTGTAAAATGCTCAACAAAGCCGTCCACTGCAGAACCAAACAGACCTAACGGAGAGATGAGGGAGTCAAGGTAGTCTTGACAGCGCAGCTTTTTGAAGGCCATCGGTATAGGGCAAGTTTCATCCATGATGCAGAGAAGCTTGGCCTAATAGACTTGAAGGACCGACATTATATAAAGGATGGCCACACCACCTGCTGACGCCGCCCCAGCTCCAAAACCTCCCTTAACTCTTTCCCCGCCAAACACGGAATTTTCCGGGTTTAATGAAAAAACGCATCCCCGCCAAACACGGAATTTTCCGGGTATCCGTGTTTTAGGTGGTATACGGTAAGGAAGACCCGCGCGCATGTTCTGAATGAGTGCGCAACTCTTTGATCAGAGAAACAGATTGCAATCGTCTCAAACAGTGGAGTAGTGAGAATGCATCAGACAGACAATGCAGAGGTATATGGCTGAAGTACTGGAGGTTAATGGACTCGGAGTCCGATCACTCTTTATTTGATCATTATGAATCTGATTGGGACGAAGTAGTCAGTGAGAGAGATGCACATGTTGTCACAGAAAGTTCTAGCCATGGACGTGCCGCAGATAGATCGTATAATATTATGACACTATAATATTTATACGTGTGTGCAGGCATTTATGTGTGGCTGTCTAAATATGAAGGTGTAATTGTCAAATTATTTCTCTCTTTGTGCACATTTACCACATTGTAATATGTATTTGTGTGTGTGTGTGTGTGTGTGTCTAGGCCTGTTTATTGTAATTCCAATTATTCATTATTCACAGTTAGAACACAGAGAGGCAGAAGTTTTATTGCAAAAGTTACATTTCCCTTACATCCTGGGAAATTTGATATATTTTACATTTATTTATGTTTTTAATTTATTTTGGAAAGTTTTATATATGAAGGAAACAACATCTGAATGTATTCTGCTTTTAAATGCACTTGTTTGATAAAAATACCTTTTTCTCAGTTTTTTGTCCAAAATGTTGTGTTTTTGACAAAACCTACCTCTGTTCAAGAGGCAATAAAAAAAGAACAAATGAAGATAAAATAAAAACGTTTTTTTTTTTGCCTAAAAGCAGAGGCTCAGATCTTTATTTTTATATATATCATCTTCATATATTCATGGAAGAAAATATTCAGCGGGGCATTCAAATTTAGCACCACCCTGGCGGTGGCTGGCAACTTTTTTTTTAAAACGCTGGCGGGGAAAGAGTTAACAAGGTGGTTGCGGGCCAACCACTTCAAAGCCCAATTTTCCTATGGACTTTAGAGTATGAGCTCCAAGTCCTGTTGAGGCCTGGGTGTATCGGTCTCTTTAGGTGGCGGGGGCAAAGTCATTGGCGGAATATGCCCACCTCTCCACTCAAGAGCCAGCCAGACACATAGGCTAAGTTTACATGCACAACTTTTGTTTCAATCGGACTTAATTCATTCCAATTGATGAATCTGAATGTAGTGTTTACATGAACGCAAAACAAGTGATCGGGTTGATGTGCGCTTTTATATGCCACAAGCTTAAAATCGGAATACATTTTTTGACATTGCACACTTCAGGAATATACTGAGTTTCCTGCTGTTTGCACATTATAACCATTCTCCTACATTGCTCTTATTTTTTTTTTTTAAAGCAGACTTAATATTGATTCAATTCTGGTCATAATTTGGAGTAAATGACACATTATTCAACAAGAATAACAGCTCGTCGTTCTGCACGTCATTACTCAATTTCAATGTCAATGTACATATGCAGTTCTTTCAGTTTCGTTTTTAAATCCGATCAAGTGTTTACATGTTCTCTTGAACGGAATAAACTACCCCTTTCAATCAGATCGAAATTTTATTCAGATCAAGCTCAATTGGATCAATTAAGGTAGTTTACATGAGAGATTTTCAGTCCAATTAAGCAGTCAATCCAATTACTAACGGATTATTTGGTTGCATGTAATTGTAGCCATAGTGCCATCAAAGTCATCCTTGGAGCAGCAAATTGATACCATGCTGCTCGCATGGGCACTAAGGGGCAGTGGTCTTCGTGGGTGAAGAGCACTGGAGATTTATCACACTGAGGGGAGAGCAAGGCACACTCGTGGCGTAACATTTTGCTACAAACGTCACTCAAATTTGCTCTTTTAATGAGTGAAATTTGCTCTTTGAAGAGTGACCAGATAGCTGCAGAGAAGTGCCGAGTCTGTTGCAGCAGTCGAAGGGCTTCTAATCTGCTCATTGAGACTCATTTCAATGGCAAGCAGAAAGGCTTTGATCTTATCTTCTGCCAACGAGAAGACTATCTTCGAGCTTGGAGAAAAAGTCTGATGAAAATAGCTTTCAGTGTAACATAAATATGCAGTCACCACTGCTCGTTCATTTTCTGTGTTGGTGCACAGACTTAAACCATTCAGGCTTCAGTATTCAGAGAAAAACTGAATTTTCCCCATTCGCATCACATCAGCTACTGTGAGTGAACCATATCAACAGGGAAATATACAGTTAATCTCTCACTGCAATTTTAAAAATACAAACTGCAATTTGAATACAGGGATTATTACTCCTCCCAGATTGTTTTGATGGTGATTCTCTTCAGTATAGGTCATTAATCAAGTCTTTTGAAAGGGGCATAATAAAACAGGAAGTATAGATGAAAGGCATAACTACCTACAGCAGTACACACAACGCATTCTCACCCCAAGGCGTCACCTTTGACCATGCTTCAATATTTGACGTTTTAGGCGCCCTTTAGCGTCAGCTACATGACGCGATCCTACGGCGTCAGCTAACTGACGCTAAAGGAAAGGTTAGGTTTAGGTCTGGGGTGGGGGTAGGGTTACACGCGATCCTAGGGCGTCATCTAACTGATGCTAAAGGGCGCCTAAAGCTTCAGATATTGAAGCATGGTCAAAATGATTCCCAAGACGTCAGTTTGGTGACGCCTTGGGGGTGAGAATGGGGAGGCGACCTAGAAATCTTGTCAATGCATTTCTGCATATGGATCGGCATAACACCATGTCCTAACTAGACGTGATATGATAAGATATCAAGCGACACATAATTTGACTGTCCACACCAGACATGACGCAGCGACTATGGGACGCATGTAGTAAATCAAAAATCAAAGCCAATCAGAAAAGTGCGTGGGTGGGCTCTCTCAGCAAGCTACCGGCACTCTCAACGAAATGGATAAGTACATTATCAAATTCTTGAATATTACACCATTTAAACACTATTAAAAATACATACTGAGTCACTGAAACAATTTGAAAAAAAGTTTCTAAAATAGAATCGTGGAGTGTTGCGGCTGGTTAGGACAAAAAATCTGATTAACATGGAAAAGATCCCTTTTATCGCGTGTCGCTGCATTGCGTTGCATGTAGTTAGGACACGGTAGCCTACAAGGAAGCAAAAGGCAATTGAAATGTAACTTTGGAAACAACTTTTGACAAAATATTAAAATTGACTACAACAAAGGCTGAGGATGGTTCTGCTTCATGATCGTATCCTCTTTTTTTTTGTGAAGATGTCACGATTCAAAAGGAGAGGGAGAACTCAAATGCAGTATAAGGATTTATTTAACAAAAGAAAACAAAACACAAAGTAAAAACCCACAAGGGGGGAAAAACATAATTAAAGAAACATGAACAACACTGAATAGTCAAAACACCACCAACTAGGAACACACAGACCAAACCAGGAAACATCTAACAATGAACCGACAAAGACTGCAAACAAAAGGAGGCTTATAAAGGGAACAAATCAAGAGGGAACAGGTGGAACAACTCAAACACTAATCAGGTAACGAGGGGGAGGGATCAGACAATGACACGAGCACATGGCCCAAAATAACAAAACACCCATGTGCAACACAAGACAGGACAGGCATGTGACAGAAGATGTTGACTTATGAACTAGAAATTCCATCAACCCTAAACTTGTTTCTAAGGGAATTATTCAAACTGGCAGTTTAGTTCGGAACGGGGCAAGATTTGCATGAAAAATTGCTAATGTAAAAGCCAAGCCAATGTGCAACCGAACCCAAGATCGGTTGCACTCAAGCTGTGCTGTGATTAGCGTGCATGTTTGTTCAGGAATCTGCACATACGTTTTAGCCCATCATGATGTGTTTAGTTAAATAAAACACATGTAAAGGATGATAGTGCTGATGATTTACCTGGGATACAAGCGAGAGTGAACCTGCAATGTATTCATGCATAGTGAGTGCAATCAGGGCAGCAAATGTCAATCCAAAGTCCAAGTGTCGTTTACTAAGCTGAGCATTAATAGCATCATATTAATAAAAAAAAAAATCTATTTTGACTCGCGTTCAATTTTCTCCTCAGAAGGGCCTGTTAGACAAGAGAGACATCCACAAACTGCAGTGTTGTTGGGGGTATTCTAAGACCAGTGTTGGGAAACATGGCCATTGAGAACCTGTGGTCAATCCTAAAAAAGGTAAGTCAGTAGATGGCCAGTAGATAAGCTGAAGTCCAAAAATTGTGATCAACTAAGCACTAATAAGGCAAGATTGGATCACCATCAGTCAGGATTTGGCCCAGAAGCAGAAGCAGCATGCCAGAGCGAAATGCAGAGGTTATGAAGAAGGGTCAAGATTATAATTTTTTTTCCAGTATACCATAGAAACATGTGAAAATAAATCAACAAATATTGAAGCAGCAAACAAAAACTGTACATCTGTACAAGACAAAACCCTGCAGGTGCAACTGAAACAAAAAGGCCTGACTTGATTTTACACACATGCAAAAACACTTATAGATGAACAAAGCAATGATACAAATAAACTTGTCTATTCTAATTGTAGAATAGTAGAAAATATATATATTAGAGAGAGATATACAGTACTCTCACTTCATTCACTTTAAAAAACACACAAATAAACCTAATCCTACATAACTAAAGAAATGTGTATGCAGGCCTATCCCATTTTTCAATCTGAAGGTTGTCTTTTTGCATTGTTTTGCCTATGTTTTCATTTTACATGTAGCTTAAGTTTTAGATTTGCATATTCTTAACCAAGACCACAGGCTAGGCCTATAACCAACATGCAGGAGGAAGAACATTTCTGGATATTATTCAAACTTAATTTTTTTTAAAAAATAGGCTAAAGTTTTGTTCATTACACGTATTTAAGGAGCAAAGCAAAGGTTTTACTTTAACTTGAATTTTTACACTACTTGACACTTAAGTTGTTCGCGTAAAAGAGTAGCCTAGGCTACTTGTCCAAATGCAACCCCGTAACTTACTGTCGAGGTAACTGAAGGGTGAATGGGTAAACATGACGGCCTGGTCCAACAACCGAAGAATCTAACAAATCAAAAATCAAAGCAGAGCTTAGCCTGTTTTTCTGATTAATTGTCAAAGTTCTTTTTGCCAGATTAATCAAATCCACGATCAGACTTACACGGCTGTCCTGATGGATCTCTCAGCATCATCGCATGGTCATTACCTACAAGATCAAGTTACAGTACAAAATAGAGCTGGTTAAATCGATCTGATTTATCTTAATTGTTACCAATAATACAGCTATAGTTCCTCCTACCATGTGTTTTGTTCTCCCGAACGAAAAATCTCTCCACGGAATAATATTTTTCCTTATCCGAGTAAACAACAGTGCTTTTGTGACGCTCCCTCCAGCAAACCTCTGCTTTCCCTTTAATTTTTACACTCAGCGACTGCATTGTCGTGTCCTTCGCTAAATCCAAAATGACATGTCCCGATATAAAATCCCCGCTAGAGAAGGTATTGTTCTGATTGATAGGACTGTAGATAACAGAAATGTTTTTAACAGTGACGGACATCGCGTCTCCTGTTCTGGTACCAGTATCTGCTTCTGACGTTTGATCCCAAATTGAATCTCAGCAGCACGCGCTTCCTGCAGGAATCTGGCTATGCCTATATTATAATACTGTGTGTGTATATATATATATATATATATATATATATATATATATATATAGTATACGTACAGTATAAGTCAAGCCATATTAGGTCACATTAGCTGACCAAGATATTGTTCAGTCACAATAAAATTCTGCTGCACTGAATGTTCCCAAGAGCACCTCCATCATTTGAGAAAAGTTTTTCTTTTTTTTTTTTAATTGCTTGTCAAGTGCAGGTCTGAATATTTGTCATTTTGATTTTCTTTCTGTCACAATCTTTTCTTTGTTGTGGTATGAGTATAGATGTGAAGTGATATGAATTGTGTGTTTTACAGCCGGCAACAACAAAATATAAAAAGAAAATGAACTGGTCTGATAGTGTTTGAGTGCTTGATCTCCACCTCTGTCATGGGAGCTTGACCTGGTCCATCTCCACCTCTGTGTATCTAATGGGTAGCTAGGGATATATGGGTATATACCTTTAGAAATAAGAAATGTAACTGCCTGGTAAGGTTTGCATCAGAAATCCCAATTCTTATACAATCCAATTTTTTTCTGAAACTATATTTAAAATTGTATATCTGCATAACAATATTGGTCTGTTTTTTTATTGTCCACTAGGTGGCAGCACGCTACATGTGAACAAATTTGAATGTCTTTTGAGACCATTTTTACAAATAAATATTGCACATATATACATTCTTATAACAGTTACTGTAATGGGATCTAAATAAAGAGCCCCTTACGTTTACAGGAAAAAAAAAAATGTAAAAAAAAATCAAATGGCAGTACTGTGCTCAGAGGAGTGAACGTGTGTGTGTTCCTGCACAAGTTCTTTGACCTGTTAACATTTAGGTTGTTTTTTTCCCTATCTATTTGTTAGTGATTTTACAGCTATATGCAGTTTATATAATATTTAGAATAAACATTTTTTTGGTATAAAATGAGTGGAGTATACAGAAAATAAAAGTGCCCCTTATGCTATTTTAAAGATTCATGTTGTCTCCAGCAATAGGTTTACATGTAGGCCGATCTAAAGTAAAGTAAATAAATATATAAATAAATAAATAAAAACTCCTTTCCATGAGCCTATATACTCTGAATTAAATGTAAATGTTGAATTAATGTAAAACGTGTTTCGGCAGCATGCAGACATGGCGGCTCGCGTGCCTATTGGCTGCCAGCGGCAACTGCAGCAGCCCATTGAGAGATGCCCTTGGTGACTTCAGATCCAATGGGGGTGGGCGTGGCCTGGGCCTATAAATATAACTCAATGGGTTGATATACTCATATTTTTCATCTCTTCAGCGAAGCTCACGCATCGCTGGATTCGGAGTGAAGAAGTCGCGCTGTCTGAACAAAAGCCTTCTGTAGGACAAGCCTCTGCATCTGAAGCCGCTGGCCTTCATCTCGCTGCCTTCAGTCGCTGTACCTGCTATGCTTTCTGGCGTTATATCCTTTTAGTCTGCATAGTGTGTGTTCACTACCACGACTCACACTCTCTCTCTCTCTCTATCGTCTCTAAAAGAGCAAGGGTCTTTTTAAAGATGCCTTTCTCCTGGGCCCCACTCAGTGACGTGGACCGCCGTGTAATTTGCGTTTCCTTCCTGGGAGAACTCTAAGGACTCCCCTGGCATCCTTCGCCGAGACTGCACTTCCACCCTCTATAGTGGTGCACCGTAAAAAAGCGCCATACTCAGCGGGTCGCCAAGCCTTCGCTGGCCCACGACAGCTCGCCGGTTCATCCGCCAGCTTCACCAGCTTCACTTGGGTCGCTCACCGATGGATCTGTGGAGGAGGCCAGCTGCTCTATACTGGCGTCGGACAGTGAGGATTGGTTGAGCTCCGTGGACCTCACCCCCTCTGCCCGAGAATTCTCAGGGAAGTGGGCCAGCATTGAGTCGAAACTGATGCGTCTGCTCTCACAGGCCATGGCGAGGCGCCTGCACAGTCTGCGTACACCCAGCTGGATGGATGTTTCCTGCAAAGGGGCTGTGCCCCACCGACTGAGCTCCATGAAGAAGTCACAAAGTCCTGGAATCACTGCTTCTCAGCCAGAGTGCACTCCTCTGTCTCAGCAGTATTCCCCGTGGTGGACGGTGCGAAAGACAGAGACAGATACCACTCTCTTCCTCCCATGGAAGAAGCTGTAGCGGCCCATCTTTGCCCGCCCTCTGCTGGACAGAAAGCTGGCGCTATACCTTCCAAAACTACTACTTCTGTCATGCACACCCACGTTTATTCAGCCACTGGGCAGGCAGTGTAGACATTGCACTTTATGGCCATACTGCAGATACTCCAGGCCGACCAGGAAGGACCGGAAGCTATCAGGCACTAAAATGCTGGGTCTCATGGCCTCAGCATCATCAGTACTCCAGTTGCTGTAATTTATAGTAATATCATCAAAACCACAAATAAATCTAGTTTAAAATATACTTATTTTGAAGTATTGGTGCTTAATGTAAAAGTATATAGTGTAAATGATCATGTTTGAGAATTCTGCTGGCTGCTATATACAGGCCACCAGGGCACCATAAATAATATATCAAAGAATTTGCAGACCTTCTGTCAGAGTTTGTACTGGCTGATATAAAAAATGGGATGACTAGTAATTCCCTACTACTAAATTCTGAAAAACAGAGATTCTAATTATTGGACAAAAACTTCCACAGGTAACCTACAATACTGTCTAACACTTGATTGCTAGACAGTATTGTAGGTCTCTGTTAAGTCTTCGTCGTCGGTTAGAAACCTGGGCGTGCTCTTTGATACCAATCTCTCATTTGAAAATCATGTGTCTAGTATCTGTAAAACCGCATTTTTCCATCTAAAAAATATATCTAAATTACGCCATATGCTCTCATTGACAAATGCGGAACAATAAGTTAATGCGTTCATGACATCATGGCTAGATTATTGTAATGCTCTACTGTGTGGTTGCCCTGCACGCTTAAAGGAGAACTCCGGCGCAAAATGAACCTTTGGTCTAATAACACATTGGTACCTAGTCGACTGTTTTTTGAGATTTGTTTTCATGATAATCGAATGTAAAGAGTTTTATCTCCAAAAACTGTTTAGCGTATATGCTAGTATATGGGGGCATATAATAAATAAAGAGAAATCGCTACTTAATACCACTAAGAAGGCTCAAAATAGCCCCACACTTAGACCGTTTAATAAGATATTTTATAAAGACAGTACACTTTGTGTATACAGGCAGGAGCCATCTTGGAAAACAGTCTTGACTAGTCGAACCAAGAACGCTGTTCAGTTCAGAAGTTCCCTGAACTTCATACAGTTCAGCTCACTTGGCATGTCGTTCGTGGTTCGACTAGTCAAGACTGTTTTCCAAGATGGCTCCTGCCTGTATTCACAAAGTGTACTGTCTTTATAAAATATCTTTTTATTAAACGGTCTGTACTCTTACTAAGTTCTCAATGCTTCATTTTGCATGTAGGACATTATGTTACTGTGTTAGTGTGGGGCTATTTTAAGACTTGTTAGTGGTATTCACTAGCGATTTCTTTTTTATACTTATTAAATGCCCCCATATTAGCGTATACACTAAACAGTTTTTAGATTAGATTTACATTTGATTATCATGTAAACAAATCTCAGAGAATGGTTGACAACCAATGTGTAATAGGACCAAAGGTTCATTTTGCCCCGGAGTTCTCCTTCAAATTTAACTACCAAGTTAATCTGTTTATCCACTTTAAAATCGCAGTCCGTAATAACTAACACAGTCTCATCCCAAAAAGTCATATAACTGACGTTTTGGGACGTATTTTGACCATACGTCAATATCCGCCTTTTTAGGGCCCCCTTAAACGTCGGTAGATGGCGATCCCGGGCCGTCATACAACTGACGCTTTACCTTTAAAGGTGCAATGTGTAACAAAGTTGAGTATCTATTAACAGAAATGCAATATGACATCCATAACTATGTTTTCAGTGGTGTATAAAGAACTTACTTAACTCTCAGAGCCCGACGGCATCGTCGACGACGCCACACGTCACCTCCGATAAATGTTTACATAACTCGATGACAGATTTATCGATTTTCTTACCGTTTTTTCCAGCAGAAAGCTAACGAGCTAGCCATCACGGGGGTGTCTGTGGTGTCTTTCTAGCCTTTACAGAAGGTTTTCTATCCAGCCTGGAACTTGTGCTTCCTTTCAGAGGATTTCAGCAATAAATCCAATGATTTATGTCCAACTTTGATACTCTTGAAGTCCATAATTCATAAATAATCCGTCATTTTTGCCGCTAGCTCGATGCTAGCGGCCATTCTGGATATCACGTGATGTTTTCACGTGATGGTTTTTGACCAATTACAGGCTGATCCGTTGTAAACATTGGTGTGCGTCATTACGCATGAACCAAGCGCTGATTTAGTGTAGAGAGATAGAGAGACTCACGGAGACGCGCGATTCACAGAGAAACACAGCGAAATGGACGTAAATAAAGCGCTGGTCTATTTTGGTGCATTGCAGGATGATGGATTTTCAGGAGAACAGAGCTTTTTGACAGATGAGGAACTAGATTACCAGGATAGACCCAGCTGAAGTGCCATTTATTTATTTACTGTAAAAAATTATTATAGTAGTATAAATGTATTATAAAAGAATAAAAATAATATAATACATAAAATAATAAATAAAATAGAAATGCAAAACCTGTGATGTGGCCCTCTGTGTGATTGCTGATAGGAACTGTTTTGAGGCTTGGCACCAGTGAATTTCATGAGGCCCCAAACGCCTGGACTTCTTTTGGAAAAATGTCAATAGTTTTTGTTCTGTACAAGTTATAATGTTTATTCCTGTGCTCCAGGACTCCAAAGACATGAACAAACTATTTTCCAGAGGAAAATTGCTTAGCTTTTATTTATTTGTGTGTGATTTCAATAAATATTTGAGTGATTTCATTTCCGATTTATTTTTTCATTTGCCTTTATGGTCCCATAACTTATTTTACATTCAGGTGACATCAATGTAACACAAATATGCTGAAAGTTCAATTTGTCCTGAAAAAAAAGAGGTGTGTCAATTGTCTGTGCACCAAAGGGTTGATATTTTACAAGCTTTTTTAGTAAATGACACCAGACGGAAAATTTTTTGTAAAAATACCCTTAGCTCTCAGAGGGTTAATTAGCCGTAATGTTTTTATTACCTTAGAATGAGACATTAATAGCTCCATAACCGCGGGAATCCCCTTCTATGAAGGTCGCCATGTTGTGACGTCATATTCCTACCGTAGCCGAACGCGAACAAACAGCGCTACAGAACGCGTTTCATCACTACCTTGAAAGAGAAGTAGCGGAAAGCTGGAAGCTAGCCTTACACTCCGTGAGTAGTGACTTTTCCCTTGTGAGTGGTGTAAAATATGTATTTGGGATTGTTTCATGTAACTTAGTTCTCCCTCGCTGTGTTATGGGTTTGTTATGTTGGGGATAGATGTGCTGTTACGTTCGTGAGACAGCTGATGATTAGTATTCATGTCATTGACCGTAAAACAGTACGTTACAGGAATCACTAACCCGTCGATAGAGACTTTTACTAAAGTCTTTTATCACTAAAGTCGATCGCGAAGAATTTTAAAAATCAGAGAAAAAAAGCCTATTGTGTGTAGTAAATAGTATCTATGGGATGCGGAGATGACATGATTGTAACAGCGCGCGCAGTTCCGACCTTTGGACTCATGCAGACGCGTCCCAGCTCAGCCACAGTAACAGCTCATATTAGCCAGCTAAACTATTACTACCCTGTTAGAAAAAATATATAGCTGCTCCCTCGCTGTATTATGGGGTTTGCTACAGTATGTGTGGAGAAATGTGCTGCTGGTTACGTTTGTGAGACAATCAGCTGATTATTATTTTATTAAATTATATATTAAAACCCTTGATCCTCACCTGACTATGGCTTTGTAAACAGACAGTATTCATGATGTGGTTTATAATGGACTGTGGTACAGAAACAGTGACAATGTTACACACTCTTGGCTTACTCTGGCTATTCTCTGCTGTCTCAGCCGACGAGATGTTTGTCCCGTTTTCGCAACCGTAGCTTCTTCGAAAGGGAGGGGTGAGCAGTGGGCGGAGCCCTTAGTGCAAACCTGGTGCAAACTCGCAACCGAACCACTAGATGTCGCTAAAAGTCACACATTGCTCCTTTAACGTCAGTTAGGTGATGGGTTAGGTTTAGGGTTAGGTTTAGGTCTGGGGTAGGGTTAGGATCCCATAACCTCATCTACCGACGTTTAAGGGGGCCCTAAAAAGGCGAATATTGACGTATGGTCAAAATGACGTCCCAAAACGTCAGTTATATGACGTCTTGGGATGAGACCGGGTTGTAATAACACCTACATTTTTAACATAAAGTTTCACTGGTGGATTCAATTCCCCAAGATCCAACTGTAAGGATTCATAAGTGCCACCCGCTGTAAACAGCATGACTTCTGTTATACTTTCATTAAAAGTGCCATCCAGGCCTCAATTTCCTCAAGACACTGTAATAGGCGCTAACGTAGAAGTGTCTCTTTTTTTTAAAGGCAGATCAATTTGTGTGTCATCTGCATAACAATAAAAAAAACATACCAAATTTCCTAAAAAAAATATGCCCCAGAGGGAGTAAATACAAGGCAGACAAAATAGATCCCAAAATGGAGCCCTGGGGGACCCCACATGTAAAAGAAGCCTTTGACGAGGCAAATTCTCCAAGGTGAACTGAGATAGTTTTTTACGACAAATACAATTTAAACCATGCCAACGCATTACCCTCAATAGCAACACATTTTTTCGAAGCATGTGTGGCAGGGCATGTTAGATCCCGCCCAATTATTGGTTGTCACATGAGTGATAGATGTGACAACCTATTGGCCACTGTCCCTGGCCTATTTAAAGACTGTTTATGCCACCTGGTGGGGTGTCATTCTTAGCTCCACCCCTTGGTGCGGGCGTGCCACCATTCAATGTTGGACTAGTGTTGGCAGCTCCGTGGTGGTGTGCAGGCTGTTACTTTCCCCCCAGTTGGTTTGTGTCCATGTTTCACTCGCATGTGTAACCTGCTGTGAGCAACCGTATGTCTATGCAGTTCCGTGATGATCTCCTGGATATTGATTCCTTTGCGGATGCTCCGTCTCAATGTGGGCGTTGTTTTTAACGCTACAACCATTTGATCGGTTTACCGCTGCATGTGTCGAAGTTGTGTATGTGGGCTCTCTCTGTATTACTATTGGCTGTGTGTGTGCTAAATTGTATTTCTTTTCTTTGTTTTTGTTTTAGTCTTGATTTTGTAAATTGTTGCAACCCTTTGCTCTTTGATTTTTATTTTGTTTGTCTTTGGATGATTTAACGTAGACGCATGAGCAAAAAATATTTTTTCAAAACACCTTTCTCTCAATTTATATATATATATATATATATATATATATATATATATATATGAAGAGTTCAGATGCAAAAGCCTCTAAGTGCCATTTGAAATTTTCTTCTAAAATGATCATTTTTATCAAGCTTGAATATTTAAGTTCAGTAATTTCACTTAAATGACAATTTATAATCTTCCTTGCCATTTAAGTGAAATTACTGAACTTAAATATACAAGCTTGATAAAAATGATCATTCTAGAAGAAAAATTCAAATGGCATTTAGAGGCTTTTGCATCTGAACTCTTCATATATAGGCTATATAATATGTATATTTATAAACATGTATTTTAGAGCTAATCTGAAGAGCAAAACCTCACATTTACCAAATCGGACAGCACAAAAAGAGCAAATTCCAGAATTTGCCTTTCTGTTGGATTGTTGTATTAAATGAATTAGAAATGTCCTCTGATATAAAAGTGATCATTGCTTGAAGTGAAAAGTTGATGTTGTTTTTTATTTGTTTATTGACAATTGAGTCCATGACCCTAACCCTAATTATAGAATGACTCAATAGACTCAACCACGTCCATTGAGAAAGTGTTTAAAAAGCAAATCACTTGTCAATTAGGGATTAAGACATTTGAGGGCTTTTTTGAAGGGAAAATGCCATCAAAATAAACTGGAGTGTGAGCAGTCACACACTTTCATAGTCAGTTTATATCATCGCGAGCCACCCCTCTGAATTCACCGGATCACAGGGGGCGTGGCTGCAGTCAGAGCGAAAGAGAGAAAGGTGTTGAGTGGGCGTGGCCATTGAGGTTATTTGCTCAGCTCAGACATCTAGAGAGAGGGAAAGAGAGAGAGGGCGCCTGTTCTTCACCACGGTCCATCCAATGGTGAGGAGCAGATTGAGTCGCTATGGTGACGAGATTGTTTCTACGGAGGCTGTGATGGGTTGACAGGTGCGTGACAGTCGTGTCTGTGCAATCATGTACGCCAAAGGCAAGAACAGCGTGCCATCGGACAGTCAAGCCCGAGAAAAGTAAGTTATATTAAGCTAGCGGTGGAGGAAGAATTCTCGCGGTCACATCTGCAGTCGCACACACACATTTGGACAGAGGAGACAGACTGCAACTGGCGCATGTACGCTTTGCTGCTCAAGTTACGCGCTTTCTGCATTATGAGAAGATATTTATATATCACTAAGTGTATCCTGTGATCATGTATTCGCTTATATGATTATCAAGAATAGTTTATTTGTTTTTCTTCAACGTTGGCAATGGCAGAATCTTATAAGACTTCTTATACAGCACGCAATTAACTTACTCGGATAGTTTGCTTTTCCTTTGTAGTCTACCACATGTTTTATGCATTTTGAGTGACCATTCTGCTGACCATCTGAATGTCTCTTTGCTGTTTTTCCGTGTTTTAGACATCTTGACTGATCGTAAACAAAACAGGCTTGGTTGTGTTGTTCTTAAAAGGTCCTGTGCAAGGTTTTATCCTTTATCATAAGGATGCTCAAATCATTTCAAATAGCATCAACGTTTTTTTTTTATTTTAAACATCAAGATTTTAGGCTTACATTTTTATACATTTTTACAGGAAATTGTTTGTTTTATGTGCTTTAACCATTTATTTTTGTTTCACCACCTGCTTTAAGGTTTTCTTCTTTTTTGCTGTTCACTTTAATAGTCAAAAGTCAGCATTCACATTAGTATTAGAAACAGTTTTTTTTTATTTTATTTTTTTATGGACCAACAAGCTATCCTATAAAATACAACAGCCTGGTGCAGAGATGGCTTAGATTATGCCAGGAATAATTAAATTAGGACATTGCTTTCTAAAATATGCATTAGAAAACGTTAGTGCATCTTGAGAAAAACAATGACACTGACATATTTTAAGATATGTCAATGCAAGTTGCTTTCAGTTAAAACAGCTCAATCATGCATTTTAGAACTAAAGGCTTAAGCATTGACTGTGAAACCATGGTTTTACAGATGTTATATTAAGTGTCAGATGTGGTGTCTTTGTTGTTGGTGGGTGTTGTCAATCCCTTAGCAAGTTTAGACCGAGGGTATAACTCTGTCTAAACTTTAATTTTAGTTTGTCCTCTACATTTGAACAATAACAGTTGGATAGTATACCTGGATTAAAAAAAATTATAGTGAAGGTAGCATCATAAGCATCATCTTAACTTAGAAATTGCTCTGATTTTAGACAGCCGTAAAGACCAGCAAATATTCATAAGCTCACCCTGTAGTCAATGGTTTGTAGGCCTATCTCAGTTTGAGGAGTCACATTGTTCAATCTTCTCTATAAGTATCAGTTTGACCTAGATAGCCACTGCGGATAGACTTCCATCTCAAAACTCTATGGTTTTAGGGCTTTCTATATGAAAGGTCCCAAAATTAACATTTGACAGTCGCTAAAAGTGAGTAAAAATTGGTTTTGGTAAGTAAATAAAATGTCAGTGTATCCTAACTTTATTAGGAACTACGACAAAATATAGTTTAAACTCTCACGGATGTAAGTGATCTGAGCCATTCAAATCAAAGACATACAAACCGTCTACTAAAGAAAACACCTGTCACAACGTGTCTTCCAACAGCTTTTAGCTCAGTGGAAAATTTACCATAGGATGTTTATCTCAATTCTTTTCCTCTCCAGAACTCCATATGTGGAATACACATTTGAGCTGCCACAACAAAAAAAAAGAATGTACCAAAATCAGAATTGTTTTTTTTTTCTTTCTGGCCTATCTGAAAGGAAAAAGTACAATTATTCAGCTGTCATTGATATATAAATGTTAAAAAACAATGTTTTTACATTTATGCATCAGCAGATAACAATTAACAATGCATTCAAGCATTTTTTTTCATGCATTTCCTTGATTTCAAACCCATGACCTTGGTGTTGCATCAGCAGCATCATGCTCTTTACTGTTTGACCACCTCAATTTTTTTTTTTTTTTTTTTTTTTACAGTTTTATTACAGTTGGAGAAATATTTATGACCCTTATATTGTCTTAAACCAGTGACTATTGGCAGGTGTGGCCAAAGGTTAATTTTCAATCCTGCACACATACTGTTTCATGGTTTTATGTGCTTCTATACTATAAAGTTCCAGAATGATACTTTTCAAATATCTCTTTGTATTTTCTACTGTGATGAAAATTGCAATATCTCTGTTCTGCTGTTTTGTTCAGTTAAGAGAATGACTGGTGGTGTCGTTCATGCTGCTGGAACAGTTTTTTTCCGCAGAGTGTTTGGCCTCTGATATTTCTCTCCATCATTGATATGCAAGCGGCATCACACTGGCCCTACTGCAAGGTTAAGCAACCGTGACGGCATGGCTTAGAAACTGGCTAGGAGTCTTTCTCTCTGTCTTTAGCCTGTGTACAGCCTTCCTTTTTTTATTCACAAATCACACACAGTCTATGTTATGTCCTTTAGTTTTTCCATGCGTCCTTTTGACCTGTTTGAAATCCAACAAAGTTAAGCGTCGTTTCTCCATCATTGTCGCTTTGGTCTATTTCTCCTTAAAAACTAGACTAAGATCCTCTGTGAAGATTGTGTGTTGTAAGTTCTTTTCCAGAGCTGCACATTTTCTCCATCTGCAAGATAAGCTGGCATTTCCTGTTGTCGTGGTGAAAAGCATTGTTTCTCGAGGTGTTGTGCAGAATGCTTTGGTCTAAACCCCTGAACTCCTGGTTTTCATTCAGACTGTTCACTGTTTCACCATCTACATGCATGTTCCAGTCAAACATCATTTCTTAAAAATATCAAACACATGTGTTGTATTTTAAGCTGTGTTGTATTTTATTTTTTTATAAAATTATTTATATGTTCAGTTTTAGTGACACATTATGATAAAGATGAAAGCAAACCACATTCATAATAACAAAGTAGAGCATCTTAATTAATCCAGACTATGCTGAGGAATGTAGCATTGTTCTGTTAGCACAGGATATGAGTTTCATTCTTTAGACTTATACCTAGATGGCCTTTTCCTCTCTGAAATTGTTCTGTTATTCTTTCATAGCTCCATTTTTCCAGCAGTGTTTTTCCAAACAGACTGATATTTTTCCAACTGACACCATTTTAAATTTCAGTCACAATAACCACAACAAACTAAATTGATTTATTCAATTGATGAAAGGGGATCTTAAAGATCTTTTCATTGTTACAAAAAAGTTTCTATTTCAAATAAATGCTTTTCTATTGAGCTTGCTGTTCACAAAAATATAAAGCAGCAACATTGATAATAATTAAAAAAAAAACTATTTCTTAAGCAGAAAATCAGAATATTCAAATGATTTCTGAAGGATCATATGACACTGAAGACTAGAGTAATGATGTTGAAAATTCAGCTTTGACATCACAGGAATAAATTACATTTTAAACTTTTTTTTAACTTTTTTTTTTACTGTATTTTTGATAAAAAAATAAGGGTAGCCTTTGTTAAGAGACAAAAAAATATCTTATCTGACTAATTTCTTAATGCTTGTGTGTACAGGTAGCCATATATAATGTACTATATGGTATCTTCTGCATAAATATGCATCCCTGAATTCCACCATTGTCCGTTGGCTACACATCAAAGCTCAAAACCACCATAATGTGTATAAATGTAGCTATCTGTCAGCTATTTATTTACAAACTATGGTTGCGATCATTTTCCCCTCATTATCCTCATGTCACTCTCCTTCCTCCTTTTCAGCTCTCATCATTAATCATTTATGAGTTCCTGCTTTCCTGTCTCTCCTCTTCTACCCATCTCTATATTTATCTTTCTGTTTTCATCCCCTGTTCTCTTTCACTGCACCTACAGTAATGTGTCAAACACATACCCATAGACAGATTTGTCCCAATGATACAAATGCACACACAGACAGGATCACCCTCGAACTCGATTGCTCCTCGCTCTCTAATGTCTCTTGGGAAATGAATCTGTTTGCATCTAGTGAGTGTATGGCAGCCTATAAAGATGTTGTCAGTTCTGGAGAAAAGGAAAGAACGATGTGTTGATGGGATGAGGACCCAGCATGAGGTTAATGATGCACTCTTGCCACTGTTCTGTTCAGTCATTATTACCTCTCTTTATATCATTTCTCATGTTGATTGTAGCTCGTGTCTTGAGCTGTGAGGTCTTTTTTTTTGTGTGTAATTTTATTGAACTAAATAAGTGCAGATGTAGTTGTTAAAGTGCCCCTACTATGCTATTTTAAAGTTTTCTATTGTTGTTTTGGAGTCTCCTACAACAGGTTTACAGGCATCAAAGGTCAAAAACGACTTCATTTTATCATAATATACATTTGCACATCACCACATTTTCAATGATTCTCAAACGACTCGCCAGATGAATCAACCTAAATCCCTCCTTTCCGTGAGCTACTCTGCTCTGATTGGCCAGACGGCTCAGTCTGTTGTGATTGGTCTACTGCGTACATCACGTGTGTCGAAAACAAAAAATGCCCCTTGCCACAACAACATCAGCTCTGAGTGTCCTGAGGCTTTCATAAACTAAACGCAGTACACTGTAAAAAATATTTTCATGATTTGTAATCATAACATTATTTCTTTTGTCAAATCAACTTAATTAATTTATGTAGTTCGGATAACATCATATTTTAAGTTTCTGGTGATTACATCAATCACCTTCATTTTATTAACTCAATTTTTCCATTTCAATGAATTTAAATTTTTAAGGCAGACAGGTTACTTCATTTAAGTTAAACCAACAATATTTTACAGTGTAACGAACAATGACGTCAATTTTACCATATCAATCCGAACGCGAGTCTATTCATTCAACCCGAACCTCCATCACAAGAACAACTCAAGGAGGATGTTTCTCAGGGATACGCTACTTAGTTTGAGGTACATTAAGCATTGTTGCAACTGTAATTTCTCTCCATCTGAATTAAAGGAGTAGTTCACTTTTGAAAAAACTTTTGCTGATAATTTACTCACCCCCGTGTCATCCAAGATGTCATTCTTTCTTCAGTCGAAATGAAATTAAGGTTTTTGATGAAAACATTCCAGCATTTTTCTCCATATAATGCACTGCAGTGGGAACCAAATGGTTCAAGGTCCAAAAGACACTTTCAGTGCAAACTGTTCAAAGGGCTTTAAACAATTGAAGATTAATTGTTTATTTGTATTTTAGTCTTTCTATTGCTTTGTTGTTGTTGTTATTTTATTACTCTGTTTTAAATTTTTAGATTGTTTGTTGGTTGTTATATTTATTGGCTTAGAATAGCTTGGAATAGCAGGGAAAAGTATATCTATATTACAGATATAGAGCCCCTTGTCTTTGTCAAAAAAAAAAAATTAAATGAAACAAAATTCCTGCTTTTTCATTAATTTAGCTTAAAGCACAATGGAAATGGTCTATGTAGGTCAACTTTGTCTAATTAGTGCTGTTTAAGGTAAGCATCATTAATGTTGCCCATACTGGAATTAAACTTCATCATGCAAGACATAAATAATAGCTCAAATTGTGTGACTTGCTGAGAAGTGTTGTCAGTTTTAAAAGAAACTTACATGTGTCTTAAGCTGCGTTTCCACCAAAATTACATGGAACAATTTGTCCCAACTTTTTTTCACCCAGACCTGTTACTTTCTGCGCTTACACCACTGTCTAAAGGACAGTGAAGATTAGGCTAATTAGCCCGGTGACATAGGACTGCAAGCATCTCAACATATTTTTAGAAATGGTGGTTGAAATGGAGTCAACCAATCAGCATGTTCAGCGCCCAAGTCCCACCCCGGAAGTTCCTGCACTTTGAAAAAGTACTACCTCGCAGGGACTTTCTAGCCCCTTTCACACAGCGCGTTGATCCTGGGAAATTAACACAGTCTCATCCAAACTCGTCATATAACTGACGTCTTGGGATGTCTTTTGACCATACGTCAACATCCGCCTTTTAAGGGTAGCCTTAAATGTCAGTTAATTGATGATCCCGGGCCATCATACAACTGACGCTTTACCTTTAACATCAGTTAGGTGACGGGGTAGGTTAAGTGATATTCACCAGATAATGAAACATAGTGAAAAAATCTTGTAGACTTTGAGGGAAGAGAACTTTTTTACTATGACCAGTAATCAACTTAGCAACTACCCAGAACATCCAAGCAATGTTCTAGCTATACCATTCAGAACACTATAACAACCCATAGCAGCACCTTGGCAACCATACAACATCCTATAGACCTTATGCTCCAGAGAAATAAGGTGGAGGCTGAGCCATATAGAATTTTGTCTTTGAACTTCGGTTATTGCGGTAGTTAGTTCTATGGCATCCCTGTCAAAGAGTATTCAGTTATTGAAGTGGATTTACTTGTTGAAGAGTTAACGAAAGTTATCATGAGCATTGTAATGTTTGAAGAGGATGTCATAACAAATGTCTGTAGACAGGGAAGATTTTAAAATGAGTGGTTCATTCATAAATCCGTAAGATTTTCCCTTCATGCTGTAAAAATACGAACCGCAAAAGAGAACACAACTGGAACTGCGCCAAAAAGCTCTAGGCTATTGGAGAAAAATGTAAAAATCTCATATTAAATTTGGTGAATGTCTGTGCTTAATAACTTTTATTCTTAAACTCTCGAAGCCTAGTTTGCTTTTCTGCCCCAGTTTGAAGATTTTGGATTTTGCTCATTTGGAGAAAACGGGGAAGACTGCTGGAAATATCATCTCTCTGTCTCTTTTCTATCTTTCGTCATTAGAATATGAAAGTTTGCTGACAATCTCTGGAGGATTGATTCTCACAAGCTCAGGACCCCCCGTCATTCCTCCAATCTGCAAATCTCCTCCCTCAATCTCGCTTGTGTGTGATCTTGGTTTCCAATGTTCCTCTGTCATTATTCTACTAGTACTTTCTTCTCTTGCACAAACACTGTCTTATACATTGTATGAACGTTCATCATATTGTGTATGTGTGCGCATACTCGGAACATTTGGAGGTCTGCAGAAACAACAAGGAGAGGGAATACTTTGTCTCCGTACATGTGAAATATAATTAGATTTGACTGTGCCTGAAAAAAATAATAATAAGGTACCGCTGGACTCTGCTGACTCAGGTTCCCTCACACATTCATAGAGGATACTAAAAATATGTATTATAAAAATCCTCTATGCAATGAACTTTCACCAATTCAAAAATAACCAAATGTTATCGCAGAGATATAGAACTCTTAAAAATTCCATATCAGATTGTAAAACTGAAAGTGAAATGGTGAATGTAATTTTAATGGAAGACTGAGATCTCAGTGAACTCAGTTTGTGATATCCAAACTAGGACTTAAGATGCCTTATTAAAATCGTATATGGGTTGCTTAACCAAATGAGATGAGACACATCTAGAAGGTAAAGACATGGGTTCAGTTAAAAGCATAGTGTGTCCAAAAATATCTTGTTTCAGAAAGTTTACATTATTTTTTTTCCATATAATGAAAGTGAATCAAAAAGTGGGGCTCCAGAAATAAAAATGACAGATGACAAAAAAGCACCATTACAAATACCATAGCATTAGTCCTTATGACTACATTTTTCTGAAGTTATATGATAGTTTTGTGTGAGGAACAGAGTGAAATTTAGTCATTATGCACTATAAATCTTCCCCTCTGCTATAACTCTCAAATCTTGTTTGTGCTATATTGAAAATGCACATTGCCAAGTTCATGGTTTTGTTTAGTGTGATTTAATTCACTTATGGTCTGTCTTCCTGTCATTTTTTGATCTGATTTCCTAGTTTGTCACCTATTCCTTTGTCATCTGTTCATCTTGATTAGTTCCCTTTGTTTTCTCATTGTATTTAAAGTTAAATCCATGTGTTTCATTTTGTTCCTGGTCCTGTCTTGCTTAAGTGTAGTTGGCCTGTTTGTTTTTCTCCTGGATAATTAAAGGGTTATGTTACGTGTTTAAAGATGTAAAAGGGGATGATTACATAACATTTATGTGCGACACTGTTGCCGGGTGTGGATGCAGGAAAGACAACCAGAAAACATCATTTAAACGTTAAGGAAACGTTTATTCTCCTGAATGAATTAGACATGTTCACTTAAATTATATAACAAATTCGTTAGAAGAAAAATAAATAAAATACACAAGAGAAAAGAAATTAGGAAAAACAAGAGTGTCGCCAAATTAATGAAATAAGCAAAACATAACTGATAACTAATTTTACGAATACCCACTAAACTAACTGCACAAAAGGAAAATGTAGAAAGAAACCCGAATTCTTCAGCGGAATAACGCCGCCTTAATTAAACTACGCTAAATAAAAACAAAAATACAATAATGGCGGACACTCCACGCATAACTAACACACGATGATTCCTACCTCCCGTTCTATGATTTCGCAACAGAGAGCTCAATGCTTATGTAATCAGAGCTAGGCATCTCTCAATGTCTTAGCAAAACTCAGGTCCAGGCTAAAGCATTTACTCATTCATTAATCATCAATCATAAAGACATAGCGTAAATCGTGATAACGTTTCGACAATGTGCTCAGAACGCGCAAGTTGGATGAGATCTGGCGAGGATCTGACTTCATCTCTATGAATGTGCCTTTTAACGCCACAGCAGAGCAGTAGATTGGTTGCGCAGATGGTGACGCCACCCACAATCACGTCATGTACCCGCAAACAGCCAATGTTCGATCACCACCTGAAATCAATGAATGGAGACAGAACAGAAACACACACACAAAAAAAACACGTGGAACGTAACAGTTAGTTCACCCAAAAATGAAAATTCTGGCAGTATTTACTCACCCTCATCTTGTTCCAAACCTCTATGTGTTTATTTGTTCTGCTGAACACAAAGGAAGATATTTGGAAGAATGTTTTAATCAAACAGATCTCATTCCCCATTGACTACAATAGTACTGTATGTACTTTTTCCTACTATGGTAGTCAATGGGGAATGAGATCTGTTTGATTAAAACATTCTTCCAAATATCTCCCTTTGTGTTTAGCAGAACAAATAAAAACACATAGAGGTTTGGAACAAGATGAGGGTGAGTAAATACTGACAGAATTTTCATTTTTTGGGTGAACTAACCCTTTAATTATCCAGGAGAAAAACAAACAGGACAACTACACTTAAGCAAGACAGGACCAGGAACAAAATGAAACAGTCTGTAGCTTAGACTGCTGATCCTTTCCGTACCCGTTGCCAATATGCGCGCGCATACGTAGCTACGTCATTATTGTGTACAAACAGTAAAAAGGTTTATTTGGTGAATTAACACAAATGAAATCTCTCAATCTTTTTTCTGACGCAGATCTCTCTGATGGCTTCACTGACTTGTATGGGTACTTTTATGTAATTTTTGGAGCTTAATTGAGCATAAGATGTCACCATTCACTTCCACTGTATGAAAAAAAGTAGTATTAACTTTCTGCTAGACATCTCCTTTTGTGTCTCACAAAATAAAGTCAGCCATGTGGGGTTGTAACAACAGGAAAAAAATAGTTCATTTTTGGCTGAACTATCAAGATAAGCTACTTTGCTATTTCAAAGAGGACATGATAATTATTTCTCATGAATTATTTTAGGAAACTGAACAATTGAGTTTTATTTAACCATTGGAACAGGACCTTGGATAAAGGCATCCTGGAGGATGGGTATTATGATAGGGTGACCATATTTTGATTACCAAAAACCAGGACACTCGGCCCGGCAAACAGATGGGCCTACTCAAATGATACTCGAAGTTTACTCAAAGATACCTTATTAATTTCAATACATTTAAAGTAGGTTATGCCTCCTCTGTATGGATAGAAAATTGTTATATTGTTATTTAAAAACAGGACTTGTCCTGGGAAAACAGGACAGTTGGTCACCCTATATTATGAAATCTTAGGATCTCTTCCTCAATATCTAAATATAATATTTTTCTGTCTCGGCAGGTTAGCTCTGTATGTGTACGAATATCTGCTACATGTGGGAGCTCAGAAATCAGCACAGACCTTTCTGTCAGAGGTAAGTGAACCAGTTATTTGCATTTTTACTAAGACCTTTACTGTGAATTAGGTGAACAATTTAAGATGTGATGTACTTTTTAGGAGATAATATTTACATGTAGCCTTACAATACACAGCTCCCATGGAACCCTCACTGTTCTCTGATCCCAGCTTAATTTAATTACACCGGATACAAAAGCACGCTTGCACAAGAAACTGGGCAAACTTTTTCTGTTTAATGGCACTGTCTCATGTCTCATACAGCGGGTGGACTGTAAGTTTATTTACACAGATTCTCCTAAGCATTGAGTGTCCACTTGCTCTGCTCTCTAAATGAACATTGTTTATTTTCCACATGAAGTTAATAGCTTGTCATCCTCTGGAACTGTGTTTGGGGAAGAGATGTTTACATCGGTGTCCACGACAGCTCACTTACTGATGACAAGATCACTGACAAGATACAATTGAAGAGTAAAACTAAATGCAGATGCAGATGAGTCTTCTATCTCTCTGAGTCTAGTAAATATTTGCGAATGACAGCGGATCAGATAAATACTGGAACAGAACAAAGAGAGATGAGGGAAAACGGAATGAGACTGGCACGATGACAGAGGTGAAAACACAAAGGCTGGCCCACCACTCAGACGTGAACATCAACAAGCCAGACAGTGCAGTCGTGACTCAGTCCAGCCTCTGTGACTAAGCCACCCGCCCCGTCCATTGTGGCCGGTTTCCTTTGCGACTCCTGTCTTTTGCCACCCTTCTCATGTAACCAGTTCCTGCTGGACTTGAACCCAAAAATAGCAGTGGCTCTTCCAGCAATGTATTGAGATAATATGGGCACACCCGTGTTGTTTATGGCAGCTGTCGTCAGTGCTTTAATGTCTGTGTAAACCCATCTCGCATATGGTCAGTGACTAAAACTGATGATCTCATCAAGATGGATGGTGTTTTCTGTTCCTGTTTAGTCTTTTGAGAAAGAGTTGAGGAGAAGAATAAGGATGTGCAGAAGGTCTAAGCCTAAAGTATACTTCAGTTTTTCCTCTATCCGTACACCCGAATACACAGGCTTTCAAAATATTCTCCATTTGATAGTACTCAGGTGTTCGACTCATGCGCACTAGAAAGTTTCATTCTTGTTCAGTGTCTGCACTATTTCTCTCCCGAAGTTATAAGATAAAATAGTCTTTGTACTTGTTTAAACTAGAGTCTTAGAGGCTTACATTTTATCAATTGATGTTGCAATTATTTTAGGGCTGTCAAACGATTAATCACGATTAATCGCATCCAAAATAAAAGTTTGTGTTTACATAGTATATGTGGGTGCACTGTGTATAATTATTTTATATATAAATACACACACATGCTTGTATATATTTAGGAAATAGTTTCGTGTATACTGTATATAGATTTATATATAATTTATATTATATATAAATATAAATGTTTTATATATAAATAATATTTTTTTCTTAAATATACATGTGTGTATTTATATACAAAATAATTATACACAGTGCACCCACATATATTATGTAAACAAACTTTTATTTTGGATGCGATTAATCGCTATTAATCGTTTGACAACCCTAAATATATATCTAAAAAAATCATTTAGTTATACTTCTGTCATTACAAGTCTTTGACATGGTAATCGGACAAGTCTTTGACATGGCAATGGTATGACAATGTTGATATGTTTGGTTTGGAGGTCATTTTCGAGGCATGCACTTCAAATCCAAGTGGACTTTAGACACATTGGTTCTCAAGTCAAAGTCAAGTCTTTTTCTTAATTTAATAATGTAGCCCGAAGTCATAAATTTGCTACTGGAATCAGACTCAAGCCGTGCAAGTCGAGACCCCAACCTCTGTTTGTTGCCTTCTCCGGTAATTTGTTGTTGTTGCATCTCATTCAGTCTTTTTTTTTCGACTGTGAACCAATGGGTGCAAAAAAACTTGTAGGTCATTGTGCTAGTGGTTAACGTTGACACTTTTTTGAAAAGGTCCAATTCCTTCCAAGTTAACAACCAAGGAGGATGGAGCTTAATGCAGTGTCAGCTGGTTAACTGAATTGAATAATATCTGAGTCACTTTGAGACCGTTTCAGACAGATGCCAAGTTTCAGTTTTATCCCTCACATTAATTCTAGGCACCATGTTTGACTGCAAGTTCAGCTCCCCATGGCAAAATTTGCCTTTAATTATGTTTAAATCACAAAGAGAGCACAGGCGACTTGTCACTGAATCTTTATAACTCTTCCTTTGTTCTCTGTTTAACTCGGCAGATCCGATGGGAGAAGAATATAACATTAGGAGAGCCTCCAGGGTTCTTGCACTCATGGTGGTGGTAAGAATATCTGCTTGAAAAGCAGATTTCTTTTGCATTATATGAATGGGATTAGTATTATATATAGTATTAAAATATTATTATTAAATATGTTTGAGTTTTTTATACTTTATTCTAATAATTATTAGAATATGAACGTTTGTAATTTCATGGGATCTCTAGTTGATACTGAGGTTTAGTTTTTATATATTCTGGATGTGGGGATTATGGAGATCATGTTGTCTGGATGTGTGCAACACAAAACTCATAAAAATATAAATATATAATACAGTATACAGACACATTTTAACGTGTTAATTCCTTAGAACTTGACATAAGTTTTATTTTTCATTTTACTTCTGTGATAATGAATGGTGATAGAATGGTTAGATATGGTGAGATAGAAATATGTCTTATAATTATCAATGTTGAAAATGATAATATTTTGTACTTACTGCTTAATGTAGTGTGCTTAATATTTTTTCATGATTATTTGATGATTATAGTACATGTCTTTACTGTCAATTTTGATAAATGCCAAGATACCAAGTTTCAAATAAAAATCTTACTGACCCCAAAGTTTTCGAATGATAGTGTAAATCACAGACATTCTCACCAATAATTATTTCAGTTTCTCAGAGGATCCCCAAGTTTGCTGAACCACATATGCTTTGTAATGTATACATTGTTATGCAAGAAAACAGACATACTTAATTCTAACAGGATAAACAAATCTCATCTGTGATACAAACATTTCCTCAGGGAAAAACTAGTCCCGTCCAAATAGAGCTTTAATTAACTGAGGATAGTGATTTATTCACAGTCTGCAGTATTAGTCTTTTTATGTTATATTGTCCATCTTTTATCGCAGTGTTTTCTGGGACCTCTACTGTGCTGCTTCTGAGAGGAGAGAATCATGTGAACACTCAAGTGAAGCCAAAGCTTTTCATGACTATGTGAGTAGCCTATAAATACTTGTTCTCCTGCAATGAGGATAAACAGGATTGTATGCTGTTATCATGATTTTATTGGCTGCTGCTAAGCACTAATAAACCAATGAATACATTTCAGTGTTTTGAAGTCTAAACAAAACCAGTAGGAATCCACTGACCTATAGAACAGCACAGAGTGATTTAGAGCTGGTCCCTGGGAAGCCTTGCAGGATAATTGTGAGTGAGTGTACAGCTCATAGAACGAGAGGTAAGGAGCGCAGGAGGGAAATAAAAAGCGGGAAGGATGATAAATTGGTGGTCCTTGCTGGAGGCATTAGCAATGATGTCATGCGTTTGCGGTCATCTTGGCTAGAGGGAGGAGGACATCTTGACCTCTGTTCTGAGTGTGAAAGAGAGAGAAAAAGAGGTAGCAATAGAGAAAAATATAAAGTGTGATTAGATTAAAGGCTTGTCTATAAGAAATAATGACCCATTTGGCTTATTTCAAAATGAGCATAATAACCTCATTGTTCCTCTAATACCGCTAACACTGACTCCAACTACAAGTCAGGTGCCTGTTTATCTACCACAAATTATATTGACCTAAGGACCAGCATGATCAAGATTAACTGCTGACCAGCCACAGCTCATTACAGTAAGAGCCTCCACTTTTAGTTCATGTCAATCATGTGAAGTGCCACACTGATCCTCTGTCATGCATGAAATGATAAAGACATGTCATTTAATCATATAATCCTTTAAAACGAGTAATGGCTACATTAGACATATTTCCAGAAGTGATTTCATCTTAATTAACACACACAAACACACACACACACACACTCACATACATATATATATGTGTGTGTGTGTGTGTGTGTGTGTGTGTATTTAGATGGATGGAATGATGGATGGATGAGAGATAAGTAGATAAATTACATTCATTGTAGGGATTTTTGTTCTTTATTTAAAATGCCTACACTTTATTTAATTATGTTATTATTATTATTATTATTATACTCACATCTTTTATTAATATATTTTAAATTAAAATAATATATATATATTTTTTTTTTCAAAATTTTGGTCTCTATAAATTATGTTATTTTTAGCAATATAACAGTAATGATTTTACATAACACATATTGCAATATTATCACTTAATATACAAGTCCATAATGTAAAGTAACAAAATCCCGATGAACGATCCAATGACTCAACCCGGATTGATTTCCATTGTTCAACGGCCATTTTTAGCATGGAAATATTACTGCTGCGCTGTAAGTGCTTTTCAGATTATTCTCTCCTGCCTAAACGAGGACATTCCATTTCCCTGACAATCATAAACGCACTCTATTTTTACCCACTCTCCCACATTGTAAAAAAAAAAAAAAAAAAAAACAGCAGACAATAACTGGTACTCTGTTGCCTTTCTGGCGATTTCCACAATTTGAATGAAGCCTGAAACTCTGGAGATCTGTTGGATTTTGTCAGTGTTGTTTTGACAACACTTTGCATGTCTAGACCTTTCCCTCAGTCGCTCCATCAGAGTGGGTCACCTGTCGTAGCGGAATAGTTCACAATTAAAATAGTTCACTATTTAAAAATTATAGTGCTCCACATTGCCACCTAGCCGCCTGGAGTGCATACTACATTGAATTTCTCACACTTTTGCGTCACCATATGCACGCGGATTTCCCACTCAAAACGCTCATCTAAATGCATAATAAAAAAGTGATAACGTAACGCCACTTTTGCGATTTCTCTTCAGAATCGTTTCCATGTAAACATATCATTTTGATTGTGATTGAATACACTAAAACATAAATGTAATATGATGGTATATGGTGTTTTTATTTGCTCTTTCCCCTTTATTTAGCAAAGATGTAGTATAAAAATGCAATATATTATCTACTACTAAAATCACACTGCAATGTTACTGACAATCATGGAGTGCTCTATTAAAAACTGAATATATGACGAATTTTGATATGTACTGTTGTTTGTAGATAAAACTACAAGCCATTTGATTAATCAGCACCATTTAATAAATCAGGCAGCAAATTCTGTGTCAAGTTCTGATAAGCTTTGAACATATTGTCTTTACATTCACATCCTTTATATTCGCTTGTGATTTTCTCCTGTCTGGCTTAGGGCTACTCTCATCTGCACTTTCATTTTCTTTGTGTTCGCACAGAGTAGAACACAAACAGCAGCAAATTAAACATGAGAGGAAGAGGGGAAGCACGACAGCATGAAATAGCTTATAATATTATGCAGCCTATTCAAGCATGTTAATGAAGATTTTCACCCCTGAATGGAGAGAGATATTTCACACAGTGTACCCACATTCAAGCTTGTATTATTGCTGCTACACTGAATAGTATAGCCTACATGTGCTTTTTGATCTTTGTTTATCTTAAACATTTATCTCTTGCCAAAGAAAATCAGGGCGCTCCAGATTTAGATTTTCACTTTAAAATATGCAGTTCAATCAATGACTTTCTTAATTCATTGTTCTAATAAGATCTGACATGCATGGCTTAGTGCTCTATTTTTCCTTCCATGTTTTTGAAGCTCTTTAACACATTTTTAGCTTGACAGAAATGAGGTTATGGATGATGGTGATAATAATAATGTTATGTTTTGAATAATTCTGTGACATTACTGCATGACTGTGGCGATCAGGACAAGGCCGAGGGACGTGATAGAACGCCACGAGGCGGTGGCGTGAGTGATAATGAACGAGACCTGTGAGACTCACCGCTATGGGCTCTATGCACGGCTGTATTTCCGGTGAAGCATTAGGGATGCTCGATAACTTCCGCCGATCGTAGAGTCCAATGCAATACCGAGAATTTATATTGAATTTTATACTTTATGGTTATACTAATGAAACGTTAGTCACAAAAAACAGATAAAACAGACACCCCTCGTTGTGTTTATGCTTCTTTTGAAAATTATTTTAAATAAATATAACTATATATAAAATTACATCTAAACGTATGTACGTTTCATTTCAAAGACTGGAGGACAGTAAATTTTGAAGACTCTGCCATAATCCCATTTTCCTCGGTTTTCCTCCGCTTTAATCTGCACAACCGGAAATGGACGAGCATCCTTGCGTCAAATGCGGAATTTATGCGTACATATAGCCCATTGCATCTCTCACTGTCGTCGCTCCTCCTTTATGCTTCCGTTTCTCCGTGAGAGATGCGAGACTGGTGCGTTTCACAGGTTTCGTTCATTATCACTCACGCCACCGCGTCGCACTGTTCCCTCATGTCCCTTGACCTCGACCTGCTCGCCACATAGACATACTCAATAAAATAATACATTTAGAATATTTATTTACTCAATATTTTTCAAGATTACATATCATATCATCTTGTATTATCAAGATTTTCTGAGGATGAATACAACTGAATTGCACTCACATTTTCTTAGAGTTTCCTGTAATGCCTGGTTGGCCGTGTTCCAGAGGCAGAGAGGTGGACTCAGGGCGGAGTGAGTTAGCAGCTGGATAGGGTGTTCATTGCGGGTTAACTGAAAACACTGTTGTCCTGAAGTAACCCCCTCACACACAGAGAGAAGTAAACACATTGGTTGGTTAAAGTCTGCCATCTGTTAAGCAGAGAATGTTTCCAGCAGAGAGAGAGACAGCAGGAGAGGAGATGTGGTGAGGATGACCTCATCACTGCATTAGATTAGACTGCAGATATTATGGGAAAGGTTGTCTGGTGGGTATAGGACTGCATCATTACCCAGGAGGCTTCTGGCTCCATTCTTAATACACAAGTAACCATTACAATGTTGTACCATAAGGGGTTGTTTTTAAAAACACAAAACGCAGGGCAGTGGAATGTGAAACCGTGTTTTTAAAGTCATGATACAGAAGTTGGGATCATCTTTCCCTCCCTATTGTGTGACGTACAGAGTGAGACGGCTTCTTGAACAGGAACAAATATTGTGTGGGGCTTGATTCTGTTTTGGTTCATTGTGGTTTGCTACTGCTCTGATCTTATTTGAGTAACAGGTTGTCCTGCCCTCGCGCCGCAAACGTCATCAGAGAAGAGATGTTGTTGCATAGGGGAGGAGGACTTTGATTAAGGATTATGAAGGGACAGTTGATTTCAATGGAGACGTTAAATGCTGAACTTGAGCTCCATGTGTATGCGGGTCTTGGGCGCTGTTGCTATTTTACCGGCGGGATAAATACCGTGAAATAAACCAATCAGAGTGTCATCCAACATAGCCTTTAAGAGCAGGAGCGCATGTTGCATGGTGGATTGTTATTATTATGGTGAATTTACCAGGCGCACGCCAGGAGCATTCACAGCCAAGGAGGACAACGGCGTTCTTGTCAGGGAAGTTAAAGACAGAGAAATAATGTTGTATGGGGATGGGAGATTTTTTATTATTTTTTTTCCTGGTTCTTGATGGACAAACTAATTCGTCAGATGTCCTTATATACAGTACATATGTGTCTTGCCACATTGGGCAAAAAGATCTGATCCGTCAGTACTACAGTTAGCCTGAACAATTTGGGTAAATGCTAGATTTAGGCCTACATTTTTTTACATCTTCATGAACACCACATGTCTTAATATTTTTCCTTGTTATAATGTATGATTTGCAAAAATTAAAACTGCTGCATCTGTGTTGATGAGAGAATCAAAGTATATGTGTGTTGAGCACCTGCTACATTATGGTGAAGCATGTGCGCTTTAAATAGCATTATGAACAACGCGCAACGTGCTACTGACTTTAGTTTTTTATCTGGTCAGTGGTGGAATTGTTTTATGGATCTGTCCAGGGAACGCAAGTTTATTTCCTAGTTTAGCGACGTGCGTTTGTGGAGGGAAAAGCCTGCTTTGCGCAGATGCAAAATAGGAATGATACATGCGTCAGTGTATAAAGTAATTTGCGCCGGGTGCAAAGATAGGGCCCAAGGTTATAAAACACAAGGTCGTAAGACACAAGGTTTCCAGATACTTTGTTTTTGCTCCAGGATTCAAAATAGTAAGTCACAGCAGAATCAAATGTTGAGCCTCCAAGAGACAATAGTATTCCTGAATGACTCAGTGTTGATGAACGAATCGGTTGAGTGAAAGATTCAATGGCTTACTCATAAATACAATCGGTGGCTGTATCATAAATTGGCTGTATCATCAAAATGAATGAATCTTTTCCCCAAGTCAATTCGTTCATTGAATGAACCAAATGACACGAACGAGTTTGAACAGGAGAGTCACGAACGCGTATCACAGAACAGATGAGCGATCGTTTCACTTGATAAGACCCTTATTCATCGTCTGGAATCGTTTAAAGCCCTTTGAACAGTTTGCAGTTTGCACTGAAAGTATCTTTTGGACTGAACTGTTTGGTTCCCACTGAAGTGCATTATATGGAGAAAAATGCTGGACAGTTTTCATCAAAAAAACTTAATTTCTTTTCGACTGAAGAAAGAATTACATGGATAACTTGGATGACATGGGGGTGAGTAAATTATCAGCAAAAGTTTAAAAAAAAAAAAAGTGAACTACTCCTTTAACAACCGCTAAAAAAGCATGGTCTATACATAAATGTACATCCTAGTATAAATGTAATCAGGACGGGCTGCATTCACCATGTCATTATCACATGACTTATCAGCATCAGTTGCGTTGCTTCACTGCCATTCACAAATCCTCTTCAGTGGCCTCATGTGATAGTAAAGTGTTCATCGTATGCACACTTAAGAATAGGTCATCGGGGTACACTCTTTTATGAGTATTGTGAATTCAGACAATCTTCTTTTCTTTTTTACTTTTTTTAGCCTACTATATAGTAGGGAAGTATGCTATTTTGGATGTGGCGCCTATTTAGTTACTGAAGTAATGAGGGTTCTTGATTGAATCGGTTGAATAAATGTCTCAATGAGTTGCTTATAAGGACAGTCACTTTTTGCAAACTATACTGGCGCAACAATGTAAACGGAGTCACTGAAAAACTCACAAACAGCAAAAGTCACGAATTTCATTAAGGACATGATGGAAATCATACATTTATTTCCTACTATAAATCCACATCCAATTTGGAGTTTCAACAGGAAGTGTCGATGACAGGGGATGAATGGATGAAGGGGGCGAGAGAGAGATTAATAGAGGACTAGAGACTTTCTTCCTGTCAGTATCATTGATATATTTCCTGTTGTTATATTGGTCTGTCTGTCTGTATTCTCAGCTGGCTTTAAAGTCTACTCTTCCCATCCTATACATATGACGCATGTTCAACTGTCACTAAATTTTATCTCTGTTGTCTCTCAGTGGAGCTTATGTAACAAGTCACATGCTTAAAAGAACAGATGTGAGAATGAGAGCAAAAGAGGAAAGAGTTAGAGTATAGCCAATAGGCAATGTTATTTGGTTAAATTTAATTTATAATGAATTTCAGTTTGTGATTTTGATGGTTTTGTAGGCCTATTTTGATATATTTTCAATCTCTCTCAGGTTAACTTTGGATTGTTTGGTTAGTTACATGTACGGCACTCTTATTTCATTGTTGAATTCCAGGATGGCTTTACCCCTTCCATCCTCATTGCAAGAGTAACCTGGATCATTTTTTTTTTTTACATTTTTTTCTCTAATTTGATCTGAGCAGATTTATTTCTCTCTCTGAGTGTGAGGACTAGGGATGTTGTCCTGATGCAGCTGATGAGAAAGTCTAGACAATGGGACTTGCCATTCTACCCACGTTTCTCTAATGAGTAGAGAAATGAGTCTCTCTACCCAGCCAGCCACTGGAGGAATCTCTCTGACACACACACACACACACACACACACACACACGCATGCATGCAGCCTCCTTATTGCAGACAGAAGGAACAAATCTAATAAATATGGAAATGTACTGCAGGCTTAAACCTTAAGAATCTGGACCATTTCGGCCACTTGTAAAGTAGCTACAGCTGTTTCCTTACTAAGTAAGATGTGGGAAAATAAACAAAGAAATGTCATTGCACTTATACAGTATATAGTTGTCTTGATTTAGTCAACAAATCTTAAATAACAAAAAGGATGTATTTAATTGAACAAACTCAGGTAATCCACAAGATGATTAGCAGAAAGAGTAAGGGTTGGAGGTGCAGGAGGAGGATGAAAACCCATAGGGAGGTGGATGGGTGGAGCCATGGAGGAGATGACTGGACTGTCCCCAAAATGTGACTGTGTGCATATCAGGAAAACCATATTTCACCTCAAAATTAAATGAAAATCACACGAAACTATATTTTACATCAATCATATAGGCTTGGTTTATATTATGATATGTTCAAAACAATTGGCTTTATGCACAGCTGCACTACTTCCTGAACTTCAGCCAGCTCCTTGTTTCCTGTCTGCCATTATTGGCCAAATTTGATTAATTCAGGTGTGTCTGATTATTGTTGCCGTGACTACTGAGGTCAGACACACCTGAATTAATCAATTTGTCCAATAATGGAGGACAGGAAACAAGGAGCTGGCTGAAGTTCAGGAAGTAGTGCAGCTGTGCATAAAGCCCACCAAAATTGTCATTACTTTGCTTGTATGCTTCAGTTATGTTTTTTTTTTCTTTCTTTCCTGTCATTCTCAAATGATCCTCATAAGACATTCATTACTGTAAACTGAATTTGTATTGTATTACAATAACATTGTTTTTTGAATTATTTTGTATTAAGGCATAAAACAAAGGCATTTTTATACTGAAGATCATAAAGATACTTTTCAGTGAATCATATACTATACTATATATATATATATATATATATATATAATCACATTACATTCCAGTGAGTAGAAAGCCTAAACTGCCAGTGAAACTGTAGTACTCCAACACTAGTGCTTTTAATTATTTAGTGGACAAAATGTGTTTGCCAGGTGCAACTTCTCAGTGTCTATGTCTTCGCACTGTTTCAAATTTCCTCCCATTGTTCAAGTCTTAGGTTTGTGTGTGTGAGCGTGTCAGTGCTGGTGCACATGATCTCAGATGTGAGGTTTTAAAACTACAGGCTAATAATAGGGATAGTTCTCCCAATTAAAAGAAATCTATCATGATTTGCTTACCCTCATGTCATTCCAAACCTGTATGATCTGTATGACAAACTGTGTTTTGATGAATGTTGGTAACTGTATGTGCATAAATAAATAAATGCAATTGACTTCAATGGTAAAACGTTTAATTACCAACATTCATCAAAATATATATTTTGTTGAGTTCCACTGAAGAAAAAGTTATATGTGTTTGGAACAACATGAGGGTGAGCAAATGATGACAGAATTAAAAAAAGAAAAATAAATTGTGGGCTAATTTTGTTGTGACTTTTGTATCTGATTTTGAAGTGTACAGTTACTTGTCAAAAGAAAAGCGCTGTAATTATTATACAGTACCAGTGCTGAAAATATTTTTTCCTGCTGGTTTATTGCATTGACTCTTCAAAAAATACATTGATTTTCAGGTTATTTAAAGAGCATGTTATTCTCAAAGTGATATGTTACATGTGAAATCGTACTCCTCTTCCTCAATCTTCCTGTGTCCTTTATGTGTGGGTATTTAAACTGAGTTGTGTGTTTGCGTGTGTGTCCTATAGAGTGCAACACAGAGTCCGGTGATTGGAAGTCCTCCTGGGGACAGTATGCCTTTGCCCCCGGGATTTTTCCAGGTACACACACACAAATTATTATTAAGTATTGCACTGAGACACCTCTGATTTGATAAACATGAGTTTGTTTGTCTTTTTGTGCTTACCTTCATATACAGTAAGTGGCCATTGGAAGACACTTATATTCAATTTCTGAAACAGGATTATACCACAATAAACGAGCAGCATGTAAAAATAAATAAATAAATAAATACATAAAATAATTCAGATAATGGAGGTGTGGGATACATTATAAAATTAATTCTTTTCTTCCTCTGTGATTGACAGTTGAGCCAGGAAGACAGTGCTCAGTCAGGAGAGATTATAATGAATGAGCAATTAAATATTTATTCAGGGCAAGAAAACTATATGTGGATGTCTATAACAGCAGATTATGCAAACATTTCCATACTTTGATTTTTTAATTGGAAAGAGAAAATGAGTGTCTTTTCAATTATTTGTTTAATTATCTGTTACAATGCGGTATTTTTGAAGGAGGATTTCGAGTGCATAAACACTGGGCTGTGTGTACGTCAGTTAAAATGCACCAGAACGTACATCGATTAACTGTCGCAGACAGTCTGAGAGCTGCTGTTTTGCCTGATGTGTATTGGCATTCGCTTGTTGATAGTCTTAAGCTCAGAGTCCTGAAGAATCCAGCCGTCAGCTCTAATAATCCCACTGAGTTTGATCTGGTTTTATCTTAACCAACCCTCTGAGACTCAACCTATCTGCTTTGGACATCACAAATATAGCATTGTTTACTACATATCCTCAACAGTACTTTTTCATTTTGAGGTCAATGTGAAACGCTGTTTGCAAGCCATTTGACATTCATTGTTTGATGTATTTACATGTAAAACAGGATAAATGGGAATTGGTGATAAAAAAGTAGGTATGGAGCCAATCCTTAAAGGTGCTCTAAGCGATGTCGGGTGACGTGATTTCTTGTTGACGTTTACAGTAGGCTAGATAGAGCCTCCCTCCTCCTCATCTGCACTGACCCCCAAAACCCCACCCCCAGGCCCTTCTTGTCAGTTATTGGCTGGAACAGTTTGTTATGTTTCGTGGAGCGGTTTGCCGCCGTTTGTTTTTGTTGCCATTTGTGGAGCCTGGGTTGTCTGCATAGACCGCGTTTTGGACAGGCAGCTTGCGGATAGTGAGGAGATGTTTGCTGTATGTGACAAATAAAGTCCAAGTCCGATAAAATAATTCCTAAATAGAATGATGAGCATCAATGATTCATTCATAATAAGACCAAGAATATCTATTTACATTGAGGTTTTACATACTGTTTTGCATTGAGTGATACATTGAAGCCACATATGTTGATGATAAAGATTAACCCAGATAGATTTGACATCAGCATTGAAGTTCATCTGTAAGACTAAATAACAGATTTAAAATAGAATGCAGTGTTGCCATCTGGTGGTGTGATGTATAGTGTCAGTCGCTCTGGTTTGTCTGCTGGGTGAACCATGAAGGATTTGTGTTCAGTTCTTGAAAATATAATTGATCAATTTTTCTCTGTCCTTGTGTTTCTTCAGCAGTTTATGTCTCCTCGATACCCAGGTGGGCCCAGAGGCTCTCTCAGAATACCCAATCAGGTATTTTCACTCATATATTTTGCTTTCTGGAACTGGGTTTTCATTTCTCTCATTATAATGCCTGGTTTTTCAATCTGAATGGTTTTGAGCAGGCTTTGGGGCCTGGGAACCAGCCTCTGCTTCCCAGTGGGATGGATCCTACCAGACAGCCAGGTATTTAAAATACTAACAACACTAGTTATGATCAAGTCAACACTTTTAATTCTGCTCTTTTTAATAAAATACTTGAATACTTCAATTTATGAAAATTTGATGGTGTGCGCAGCTTTCAAATGTAATTAAATCCATTCAACAATTGCCAGATTTCTTTCTATAGTTATAGAAATTGTGAAAAAAAAAGTTTCCCTAAAGAGCCATAATAATACATTAAACTATGGCATAAATGAAGCAACCTCTTTGCTTAATTTGCCCATTTGCAAGGCCATCCCAACATGAGTGGGCCTATGCAGCGGATGACCCCTCGAGGAATGGTTCCTCTTGGACCACAGGTGAGTTATCCATGGGAAATTAGGTAACGGTGTGTTACCATTTTCACAAACTCGAGTGTAATGTATCATTGGGTATAATTGATGTTCCAGAACTATGGTGGTGGGATGAGACCTCCCCTAAATGCCATATTGGGACCCGGAATGCCTGGGATTAACATGTAATTGTATTCAGATCACAGTTCAACATCATTCCCTAAATACTTCAGCAATCAGTCAGAATCCCTACTGTCGTACTGTATAAATTGTATAAAACTATATATTTGTATGCTGTTGTGTAAAGGGGTCCTGCTGGAGGAAGACCATGGCCCAATCCTCCAAATAACAATTCGGTTAGTTCTCAACATACAGTAGCATGATAATTGATAAAAAGTCTTTCATCCTAAAGAATATTTTCTTTCTCCCTGCAGATCCCGTATTCATCCGCGTCTCCTGGCAGTTATTCGGTAGGTAATGTAATGCTGTCTAAGGTTTCGCTGGTACAGTACCTTGTTAGGTACACTTTGGTTAACACACTCTGGTCATGTGAATAAGCAGAATCAGTGTGTTTGCAGGGTCCCCCAGCAGGAGGCGGACCTCCAGGGACACCCATCATGCCCAGTCCTGCAGGTAATTTTTTTTTGTTATATTTATATTATGTTTTAGATATATTTCGGGGTTCGACCCAGAGCCTATTAGGACTAAGTGTGCGTTTACACAACAATGTTTTTAAAACAGAGAAGTTTTTTCTATCCTATCCGTGAAAATTATTAAAACTGCCGTATTATGTTGCCAGGCCAGTAGTTGGCGATGTCACTTTTGTAAAGAAACACTACACTCCAAATAGACATTTTTTTTTTTTTTTTTTTTTTAAATGTGTGCAGTATTTTTTTTTTTTTTTTTTTTTTTTTTTTTTATTGAATATGTATCAAATAACAAGCAAGTACAGAGCACAAAAACACATAGAATTCCGACATGTTATATCAAGTATATAAAACTTCACACATGGAAAGAAAAAATAAAAAATAAAAAAAAATAAATAAAAAATAATAAAATAAAAGACATACACAGAGGAAACCTTATGCATCAGTGAAAATATCATCATAATATTTCAAGAATCTGTCACTTTTCTTGTTTTTAATCAATCTTAGAGACTTCAGAAATGTATCAATTTCAATTAAGAAAAGTGGAAAAGTAGGCTGCGATTTAGAGAATTTTTGCTTGTGAACAAAATTTTTCCCAAACAAAATAAAAAAATTAACAATGTAACTAATTGAAGTACTAGCTTTATCTTCTTTATAGTAACAAATTATATCTTTTAATTGAAAGGATTTGGAAGAATCAAGGTCACTCCAAATAGACTGAACACATAATATTCACACACATGACATCACAGTTTTCACAAATTCCCGTTTTTGTATTTTACACAGAGATGATAACTTACACTTGTCCTGTTTACAGAAGTTTGCATTTTCATTAAGCTGTTGTCATGTGAATGAACTTCAAAAACATATTTTTTTTCAATTTTAATTGAAAACGAGTGTTGTGTTCCATCCAGTTGGAGGATATCAAGCATGTTTGATATTTTGAGTTGAGTTTAGGATATTGCTTTCATTTGTCACTCATCTCCTAGTAAAATAAAGCCACATTTCTGCAGTTTATTTTTGAATGACTTGAAAGTTGGATAGTGTGCGATCTTCATTCATTTAGTGTATGATGCCCAGTTTTTCTCTGTAATTATTTTCCAAGTCAGCAAGTGTTTTTTTATGCATAGTGATTTAAAGTCGGTTCAGTCTTGTATCCTAAAAAATACAATACTGAACAGATTTTAAGATATGACTGTTTAGATTTGAATTCCAGCCTTTAGCAACATTTGCTAACTACATTGCCATCAGCAGTGATGCTTAATATTCTTGTGAGTTGCTGCTATGATATGCAGTGTTTTACATCAGACAGTCAACATGGTTTTATTTCAGTTAGCATTAGCATAGAAGCTAGTAGCAGCCTATGTAGATGCTTGATTGTTTACCCATACCAAGTCGGGTATTTTATCTTTAGCTAATAATGAAAAAACGAATGTGTGATGTACAATATTGATTTTAGATTCAAACAATTCGAGTGACAACATGTACACCATGATCAGCTCAGTCCCTCCAAATGGAAACAGACCAAATGTGAGTATGTGATTAGTGATTTTTTTTAATAAGAATATGAGAAGTATATTTTGTTATTCTTATGAAATTTGTCCTTTCAGTTTCCTTTGGGTTCAGGTGCCGATGGCTCAATAGGCAGCATTGCAGGCATGGAGCCTCATCATATAAATGGTTCATTAGGTGTGACAGAACTGACACAGCACAATGCCAAACATAAACATGTTTTCCATCCATTTGCACATTCTCGCCTTTCATTCAATACTTTATTCTTTTCCTCCTCCCTCCATTCAACAGGATCTGGTGACATTGAAAGCCTCCCAAAGGTATGGGATATTTCTGTACTGTTTTGAAAGACATTTAAACTCTGACGTACATTTCTCTGAAATCCAATGTGTTTGCTGTCCTCAAACACATTTTTTTTTCACATTCATCAGAGCTCACCAGGAAACCTCAGCATGAATAATCAGCCTGGCACACCAAGAGATGATGGAGAAATGAGTGGCAACTTCCTCAACCCATTTCAAAGTGAAAGTGTATGTATGCAGAAAGATTTTTTTCTTTCCATAGGATTATTTGTTAAGTACAGCAGCCATTTAAAACACCTTATTTTCTTCTTGCAGTATTCTCCAAACATGACAATGAGTGTGTGAGAGGACAGCACAGGAGTGACATTACAAGTTTTTACCATGTTAATTGACTTAACAGAATCTTCTCTCCACTGGCTCTTTGGTTTTCTACTCATTTTGTCTTTGGTGAACTATCGTGAATTACAGCGATGTCATCCTACTCCAAATCTAAACAAACTCAAGCAAGCCATGAAAGGAAGCAGAAGACACCAAGAACAAGGTTTTTTCAACATTTTTTTTTTTTTGTCATTTCATGGTTAATGTCTGTCTTGTTTGGATTCACACAGGGTTGGACCGGACATCAATCTTTTTTTTTTTTTTTTTTTTTTTTATGCTTGAATCGTTCGATTTTCTGTGTACATGTTTCCTTTTTTGTATACATTTTTGTATTCTGTTCTATGCAGTATTGCTGATACCAAGGAAGCCCTCAGTGTTCCATACAACAGTTCCCCAATAATAACTTCCACTTTTAGATAAGCATAATTTACAGTTACACACTGTTATGTTTGAACAGCAAATGTTTTTTTTCTTTTTCTTTTTTTTTTTGAGCCACTAAATATATGGTAGTTTTTAGGAGTCACCTCAGTTCTTTTCATGTTGGATTTGTTCTTGTAAATACAGTGATCTGTGAAGAATTTGGATATGCTGATATAAAAATCATTTTCACCATTTGTAGTGTTTGTGTATGCGACCTTTCTGAACAAAAAGAGCAAAAATGAATATGAATATTTATGGTCAGACCCTGCTAGTTTATACTGGTGTTGTTCTGAAACAACATTCTTTCTCACCGATTAATTGATGTGCTCTTGCTGGATAAAAACAAAACAAAAAAGGTGAGCAGGATTGGTTAAATAGTTCGAAGTCAACCCTACAACAAGATGTTGCTGACCAATTGGTAAATTTAGCAGGGAAAAAATATTTGTTATGCCTTTATTTCCATAATTTGCATTGTTATACAATATTGTTGACAAGTTTGGGGTCAGTTTTTTAAAAGTATCCTCCTCAATAAGGCTGCACTTATTTCATCAAACAAACAGTAGTATTGTGAAATATTAGATATTTAAATGACTTGTTTTCTATTTTAATATATTTTACATTTTTATTTATTCCTGTGATGGCAAAGTAGATTTTTACAGCATCATCATTACTCCAGTCTTAAATGTCCTTCAGACATTATTATAATATGCTGATTTGCTGCTCACAAATCTATTAGTATTATCAATGCTGAACAGTTGTGCTGCTTAATATTTTTATTGAAACTATGATTCCCGAATTTATGCTTATGAGAGCTCATTTTAAGTATTAGGTATGTCGCCCCTGACAGACCGAATGCTGAAGACAATGATAATAATGAAGTTGATGCTTGCATCAATTGGCTTTATGCACAGCCGCACTACTTCCTGAACTTAAGCCAGCTCCTTGTTTCCTGTCTGCAATTATTGGCCGAACTTGATTAATTCAGGTGTGTCTGATTATTGTTGCCGTGACTACTGAGGTCAGGCACACCTGGATTAATCAATTTGGCCAATAATGGCAGACAGGAAAAAAGGAGCTGGCTTAAGTTCAGGAAGTAGTGCAGCTGTGCATAAAGCCAATTGTGTTACTCACTGACGGGTTTGGCTTGTCAAAAATTTTACATTCACCTGTCGCAAATTCATTGACTTTTAGGCTAAATAACTCTTAACTGTCACCCCCCCCTTTTTTGAATAGACATGAAAATGCACATTTCAAACTTAAATGGTTGTAATTCAAGAATGCTTTGGAATATAGACATATGATTGGTCTTGTTTTAAAGAAGACATTTGGCAGATTTTTGTAGAAGTGAAATAAATTAAGAAAGTTAAACAGAAAAAAAGTTATAGAAGTTTGAGTTTATGGAAATGTACAATGTAAAAATATTAATTATTCATATTTTACATAAAATATATATTTTCAAAACCTGGGCTACTCTAAAACTGCAGAAAAATCAAAGCCAAAAATCTGAACAAGTTGTGTTTCAAATTTTAGGTTGATATTTCAAAAAATGAGCTTTCAGTAAGATTTTGTTTGAGCGCAGTACCAAACTTTTTCACTAGGGCACAATCAGACTCCATTACTGCCCATATAAGGGCGTCTGCATTTCCATTCGTGTTTTGAGTGATATGAACCATTATTTTCACAATTTTCATACAATTTCTGAAGTAGAGATCCTATTCAGAAGTAGTATGGGAAGTTTGGCAGATTTTGATATGAATTGAACCTCTAATAAACACATACAAAGAACATGCATGTAAGTCATAGCTAGCTGCCACGTCACAAATGGTGAATTTATTATTTTTTTCTTGATATTTCAAACTTTTCAGACCTTTTTTTTCCAAAATAATTGAATGGATTCTATCTTTTGAACTTTTGGCATGAAAACAAACTGAGGTTTCTACCATTTTTTCATGATTTTGCATGTTTACTGCTATTTTAAAATAAAGGTCTGAACACGCCTTATGAGTATGAAAATATTCTTGTTGCATATTGATAAATTATGGCTTCTCTGTAATATATTTTGAAAATCAGTCACCAAATATGGAAACTAGAGATTGTAAGCTTTCAAATGATATATAGTTTGTCAATATTATTTAAGGTATTTACTAAGATATTATTGTTTTAAAAATATAGTGGCAAACGTCCCACCTGTGGGACGGTGACAGTTAAGTGGTTCCGCCTTACCCCTTAGCAGACTGACTCGGTTTAAAACAAATAAAAATAGTTTGTAACATATACAGTCACTTTTGGTCAATTTATTGCATCCTGACCCCAAACCTAACAGTATAGTGTAGGCCTAAATATTCTACCTACTCATCAAAGACAAAAAGAACACACCTGGCAGCTTCATGAAAAAGCTAGCTGGTCCATTAAGCTAGCATGCAAATTACAGTAGGATAATCAGAAATACATGTTAACAATTTTAATCTTTACAAGCATTAGTATCTGATATGTAGCCTACTGTAAAAGTAGCCTTTCTTACTGTAAATGTTTTCATATGGTCAGAAATGAATACAAAAATAAAGCAAGATTCTATACATTAGCAAAGACTTTACAACAGCATAGAAATGGTTGAAGAGCCAATGGAGTCATTTGGATACAAAAAAAAAAAAAAGGAATAATTAAAGAGTTCCAATGATTGATAGAACACTCAACACCATTATACTGAGCTCAAATGTGACTGAAACTCATTTGAAACCTGCTGCTGCTGGTTTGAGAAAGTCTCTCACTCTGGCCAGCTGTAAAGTTCCCAAAACCCCTCTAAAAGCAGCCATCAGGCCAGCCTGTTGTCTTTTTCAACAGTGCTTTTCATGCCATCAGCTTCCTGTACTGGTTGCTCACGCTGCTTTTAAAAGTCTCGACCTTGCTTGACATGGTGCTGCTGGTGAAATGTGCGCTCCTCTCCATGCCTGAGACCTCCTGACACTTGAGAAAGGCGAGAACCTGTTTTTGGCACTGAGACGACCCAAAGTAGTAGATGAGGGGGTCCAGACAGCAGCTGACGCTCCCGATGCACGTGGAGACCAGGTACGCGGCGTAGGACGCATCGTTTTGCTTGCGAGCGAACTGCACGTAATGCGCCAACAGGATGACGTTTGTTGGTGTGAAGCATATGACGAAAACGGCAAAAACAGTTACCGCCATAAAAACAGCCCGCGTTTTTTTCGCACGGTTTTCCACGTTGGCTGCGCACAAGGCCTGGATGATGCGCACGTAGCAGACGGTGCTAAAAATGAGTGGAATGAAAAAGAAAAGCGAAGAGATGACAGGGAAGAAGTACAGGTAATACTCTTGGAGATGGTGGATGTCAAGCACGTCGTGACACGTGGTAATGCCCAGGTCAGGTAAGTGAATGGTCTGATTGGAAATCAGCAAAGGCATCGCCCCGCCGATGGACAAAAGCCACATGGCGGCGCACACGACGGATGCGGTTTGAGGACTGCGCCAGGTAAGCGAGTCCATCGGGTAGACGACAGCCATAAAGCGATCCACACTAATGCACATAATCAGAAGCACTGAGCAGTACATGTTGCAGTAGAAAGCAGCCGTGACGAAACGACACATCCCAGCCCCGTATATCCAGTTATTTCCGTTGTAATTGTAGGCTATTCTAAACGGAAGGACCAGGACGAACAGAAGGTCAGCGCAGGCGAGATTCATCATATAAATCGCAGCTGGTTTCTTTGGTCTCACTTTGCGCACAAACATGACAAGCGCCAGCAGATTTAGAGGAGCGCTGATAATAAACACTATAATATATATTGTAGGGATGACAGCTGTCACCACGCGGCCTGTGAGGAAGCTGGAGGCCTCTTCAGAGATGTGATAGGTCTTTTTAGGCACAGGGTGGTGGTGATCTTTCCTGGGTTTGGATGCTTGGTCCGAACTGGAGCCACTGCCTTCGTCCTGCACGTCCAGATAATCAAATATTGGCTCATCAGTGACGGTAAGGAAATAACCCGAAAAAGTCCGAAGTAAAGTTCCTGAAAAAAAAAAAAAATAAAGAAAAAATAAAGAAAAGAAAGCGTCACCAACATCACTGTTACATGGGACAAATTCAAACAAGTTTTTTTTCTTTTCTTTTTTTGGTTTGTTGTGTCATTAATGTATTATATGTATCCTATATGATATATTTTATTATATAATTAGCTGGTTTTATCATGTCTCTCTGCCTGGTCATAGGTCTCGATCCCCTACCCCTCTAGAGGGAAAATCTAAAGATATGAAAACCAAAAAATATATATTTAAAAAAATAATAGGTAATATATTTTATTTTAATATATTTTTAACAATAATATTTCACATCCTTCATGCTCAGTTCTGTCCTCCAAACAAGCGAACAATAAACCATGACAATAGGTAGGCTATAGGCCTAGTGAATGTATGCAACCTGTTGTGAGCAAAAAAGATTCAAATTCATTCTAGAACTAAAATCAACTGATTGCTCTCTATTTTAAAGTAGAAATTGAAACGACTAAAATTATAAGAAACAAAACAAAGCACAAAATGCAATATGAGATATAGGCCTAGGCTTAAGGTACACCATGTTTTAGGATTTTACTTGGTTATTCATTTTTATTTTTGTATTTAAAGTGTATAGTTCTCAGTTGTTATGTTTGCAAGTAAATCGCTTTGAGAAAGCAACATTTTATAGGCGCTATATAAAATAAATGTAGGTATTATTAGCGCAAGATCACATTCATTCCTAAACATTAGGCCTGTGTAGGCAGGCCTACACTATAATATGATTACTAGTTTTACATTAATATTTTTAAACCTACACTTCATTTCTTACAAAAGAATATTTTAGCAATTTAATGTGTATTACAATGTTTTGCGCTCCTATTCTACTGTTTAGCGCGCATGCGCACACCGGCGAACTTCATTGAATTATGTGACGTTTGCAAAAAAGAAATAATGCTTAATGCTAGTCTTTCTAACATTTACAGGTAAGGATAACCATGCGCAGAGGAAAACACTTGTGAAAAGGCATTAAACAGCACACGCTCAGAGGGCTATGTAGGCTACTAGCTTAATTACACGTTTCACTCATACTTTGCAGTGCGTATGCGGCGTATTTTTTCCCATATATAACATGGCTATGGCATTAGAGCTTTTACACTGCACGCGGGTGCGGTCAGGAGCAGAGCATAGCAGTGCAGAGATCATTTATGCACCGAGTCTATTTTTGCTGTGCTGCAAACGCTGAATTAAAGTGACAGCGCATAGTTCGTGGTCAAAATGAACACAAATTCTGGAGTCTGCTGTTTTTGTCAGTTTAAAGTTTTAATTTATTTTTTTATTATTATTATTTTAATATA